TCAGCCGTTGGGTCGATTTGTATATTATGCTTTTATTATTATATATATTTATCTGGCACATGTAACTAGCCAAAGTTGTTTGGGGGTAGATAAGATGTCAGAACCAAGCATTAGTGGATGTTCAAACCACAGAGACTAGATACAGGAAAGAGATATCTGCTCATTAATTTTCAGGGCAACTCTGAGCAGGTCACTGCCTGTATCTTTCTCCTTCTTTTGGTCCATCTCCTTCTCCTCTTGGTCTCCATCCCCTCATTATAGAATTCTAGACTCTTAGAGGAGACTGAGCCACAGCTGTCCTCTTGTCTTGCTCTGCTACCCAGCTATCTGTCTCAGAATGCCTTTGACTCCCAGCCTCTATTTTGGCACCTCCAGAGATGTGGAGCTCAGTTTGGTGAACCACAGAGACATTGCAGGTTTGGTTCCAGACTACAGCAATACACTAAGTGGCCAGATTATTATGACCACCTGACATTTGAAGGCAAATTAGCTATAATTTCACGCTGAAGTTGCTAGAGGGCCAGACCATTATAAATAGGGAAGCAGGTTGTTTCTCACGACAGTAGAAGTGATTTTTTTCTGAAGGTATGGGTAAACAACACGATTTAACAGCCTTTGAACATGGGATATATTTGAACGTGAGTGGCCAGATTATTATGACCACCTGAGGTTTGTAGGCAAATTAGCCATTCACTGCATTGTATGGGATATGAAAGCCAACAGCCTGTTCGAACACCTTTGCTGTCTGCAGTCACCAAGATAAAACGTCTCCAATTCACACAGGAACACAAGGATTGGACAGTTGAGCACTGGAAAAAAGTCATGTGGTCCAATGAATCACATTTCCAGTTGCATCATGCAAATGGCAGAGTGAGAATTTGGCGGAAATAGCATGAAAGCATGCACCTCACATGCATGAGTACAACCCTTCAAGCTGGTGGGGTCAGTGTTATGGTTTGGGGCATGTTTTCCTGGCATGATTTGGGCCCTTTAATTTGTGTGCAACAATATCTGAATAGCACAACATACCTAAATATCATTGCTGATCAAGTTCATCCTATCATGTTGATGGCATATCCCGATGGAGATGGCTTCTTCCAGCAAGACAATGTGCCATGCCACGGTGCTTGTATTGTGCAGGAGTGGTTTCAAGAACATGAGGGAGAGACTTTACCTTGCTTAGGTGGCCCCCACAATCACCAGGTCTCAATCCAATTGAGCATTTGTGGGACGAAGTTAAAAGAGCCATCAGGCAGCAGGTTCCACAACCATCAAATCTCACAGAACTGGACAGTGCTACTCATCAGGCATGGTGTCAGATTCCTCACATCATGTATCAACATCTCGTGGAGTCAATACCAAGAAGAATCACTGCAGTATTGAAGGCAAAAGGTGGCCCAACCAAGTACTGATGGGGTGGTCATAATAATCTGGCCACTCATGTTCAAATATAGCCCACATTCAAACGCTGTTAAATCGTGTTGTTTACCCATACCTTCAGAAAAAAATCACTTCTACTGTCGTGGTAAACAACCTGCTTCCCTATTTATAATGGTCTGGTCCTCTAGCAACTTCAGCACGAAATTATAGCTAATTTGCCTACAAACGTCAGGTGGGCATAATAATCTGTCCACTCAGTGTAGAGCGAGGTTTGCAATCTTTTTGCTGGTGGAGCGTTTTTGCCTTCAATTTACATAAAATGCAACACCAGTGAAGTACAATAAAACAAAGTACAATGAAACAAAGTGTGCCTGTAGTTTTGCCTGAAAAGTGTTCTCCTATTTGTCTACCTAGGAAACTTCTCAATATATAAATTAGTTGTGCTGTTTTAAATCAGGCCCCTGTGGCATAGGTATCTGTGGTTACATGAGTGGACTCCAGTCAGAGACCTGGGTTCCATCCTTCCTCTCCTAATGATACATGCTAAGTGCTCTTGGTCAGCTGATCTCACTTCTCTGGGCCTCAGTTTTCTTACCTGTAAAATGGGGTATCCTGATGTGATAATGTGTATGGGATCTTCATATGGGGTCCGGCACACAGCAAGTAAGCAGTACATGGTATCTGCTACTATTCGTCACGTCAGTGGTTTTGACCCTGACCAGCACATTAAAATCAACTGCAGGACCTTTAAAACATGACTTAATAGGTCTGGGGTGATTTCCCAGCAAGGTATTTTTTAAAAGTTACCCCAGTGATTGAGAACTGTAAAACCAGCAGTTCTACAATATGCCTTAGAGCAGCAGCACCAGCATCTCCTGGGACCTTCTTAGAAGCTCAAATTCAAGCCCTTCCCCCCAGCCATAGGGAATGAGAAATTCTGGGAGTGGCCTCAGCAATCCAGGTTTTAGCAAGCCTTGCAAGAGATTTTGATGCATGCTCAAGTTTGTGAACCACTGCACTAGATTGCTAGCTAAGTGAAGGTATGAACTAGCCGTGTTTGTCTTGTTCAGTGCCCTATTCCTAGGACTTACCACTGTGCATATGCAAATTCAGTTTACTTCAATTCAATTCAATTTTCTGTGAAGGCTCTGTGCCTTGGCCAGTCCTTGCCCTCTCAACTTGCTTACTGACTCCCAGACTTGATTCTTTCTTTCTGCTCTCACTGCCCCATAAGCACACCTCTACCTCCGGTTGTAATCTTTATATACATTTTTATGTGTCTGTGTCCTCCACTCAACTGAACAGCCTTTACTCATTTTCTTAGGAGTTGCTCTAGTGCAGTTGCATTGCTGGACCTGGTTCTGTATTTGAAAGCAATGGACTGTGTTTCCTGATGTAAAATGATGGGGGCGGGGAGTCTGGTGTGTCAGTCAAGGTTTGATCAGGGAAGCAGAACAACACTATGAATCTTAGGGTATAAGGATTTATCTTAGGAATTAGACCTTACACCGTTGTGGGAGGAGCTAGGGAAGTAAGATCCAGGGTAAAGAAGTAGGAGGATCAAAGTTACTAATCAGCCTTCCCCAGGCTTTGGTGCTGTAGGACAAGTCAGAGATTTTAAGGAAATCTGGACAAGCACATCCAGCTCCAGAGGAACTGTGAGGGGAGTTAGTGAAGACACCCACAGAAGGCTGTTGCCCTAGAGCGCCTCCTGTGGCTGTAGGTCAACATGGCCAGCGGTGGGGGAGAGAGCTACTCTCCAAAGAAGGAAGGATGAGGCCAGGCCTGAGCTCTTGCCTCTGAGTCCTCACTCACCGCATCTCACTCTGTGACTTTCCAAGAGTCATGGCTCTGCTTCTTTCCATCTTCTTGTTCACACACAAATGTCTTCTTTGAACAAATCTAACCCAGAACCACACAGAAAAGCATCTTCTTGGAGACAATTCCTGTTTAGCCAATTTGACCAAAGCACCAGGTTGGTAAGTATTGCTTAGGTAAAAAAGCTGGTACTTTTATTTTTTCCAAGAGCTACTATTTTATCCGTTTTTAATAATAGTGGTGTTTCCACACACTCCGAAATGCCATATAGAGAAGACAGGAGACAGAAAAGCTGCCATAATAAAGATCTTTTGCTAGTTTCAGGTTTATGTTTTTCACAAGCTTAGTCCATGAGTATCTAATGGTACTTCCCTGTTAATATGGCAGGTGCCACAGATATTGCAGCAATGAAATAATTTGAGGTGGGTCCTAGTAGTGTTTTACATGCATTTGCATAATGATTTCGTATGCTTATTCAGTTGTTGAAATATCTTAAATTATGTGCATTTGGGATCAGTCTGGTTTTTAGAGTTACTAGGAAGCACAGATTAGCTCCCAGTTTCCTTGTTTGTGTTAATGGCATTACTATTCCCTTAGGCACCTAGACTGGAAAACTTTTGTCATCTTTGACTTATTCCTGTCCTTCACTTCTCATATTCAGTAAATAATTTGTTTATAAGTCTTTGAAAAAGTAACACAGTTATGTTCCAGTAATGCAACAATAGCTACCCTTTACTGAATGGTAGCCATGTGCTAAGCATTATGGCAGTTATAGGAATTACCTCTTTTAAGTCTCACCAGACACGTATGATGTGAGCATATTATTAACCTAATGTTTCAGATGAGGACACGGGGATGTTGATATGACTTAAGTAAATTTCCAGCTTTTGGATTCAGGCTGTCTAATAGCCAATGCCAGTGCTTGACTCTGTCATAGTTTACCCTGAGCAGTACTCAGAACAGCATCAGACACAATAAGATATTTAATAAGGGTTTTTGTATTGAGATAATGATCATCTCAGATTCAGAAATGTGTTTTTGTAATGCCGACATTGATAATACCTCATGGTAACTTGGTGTAATGAAGTTTAAAAGATCTGACTATGAATGCCAGCTCTGTCATGTAGTAATTGTGTGACCCTGAGCAGGGCACTGGGAGCTAGTTTCCTCACTGTAAATGAAAGGTGGTCCTGGGGACCTGAGAGTTGTTGTAAGGACTAAGTCACACACCAAACAGAAACTGTCCAGCATGGTAAATGGCTCCAATAGGCACTCAGTAAATACCTATTACAGAAAATTAAAAATATCTTATCACTTTTTATTCAACTAGATTTCTATTTTTACCATTATTTCAACCAGAAAGATAATTTTAAATTTTCTTTAAACTTCTTTGAGGTTGATATTTTTTGCTAGTGAAAAGTTGGTTGGCATCCTATTAACAAAGAATTTTTTTTGTTTTCTTTTTTGGTAATTATCTTGATCCTAAAAAAAAAAAATAACAAAACAAGAGAAAACACTCTTAATGTTGGGCTGGCAATTAGGAGAGAGAGAGGAAAAAACAGGAGAGAGAAGAAGAAGGGAAGGTAGAGAGATACCTTAGATTGCTGATGGAAACATCACCCACAAACCCTTGATTTAGAGCCATGATGAGGTCCTGGTGGTAGGGAAGGACCAATTAAGGGATCCTCACCTCTTCCAGAGTTGCACTATGAGTCTCCATGGTAGAGCGTGGTCTCTGATCAACCAGAATTTGCTGCAGGATGGGTGTGGCTGAAAGCAGACTACTGTGAATTAACCAGGAGTGAGAACATTAAGATCAAACTTTATTTCACCCAGAAACAGAATGATAAAATGGCATTCTTCTCTATTGACACTATCCCATCTTCTTGTCCTTCCATTCAGGGCTGCTGACAGGTTGCTGGGGCTATTGTCCCAGGCATGGAGATTCTGCCCACTGGTCAAGAGACCTCACTCTCAGATGTTGGCTCTGCCCTTGCCTCCTGAGGTCGGCCCTTGTACACGCAGGGCCTTAGTTGCTTCTGTAATTATAGTAAAATTCTGTTAATATGATATTATCATTCAACAAGAGAGGAGTGAAGCAACCAGGTGAAAAGATGAGACTTGTTCCTGTCATCATTGGTTCTTTATTAAAAAGTACAGATAATATTTGAAATGGAATAAAAACTCAGAAGCTCAAATGCATCCGATAACTTGAAGTAGCAGTGACACATGCATCCACAAGCGATTATAGCTGTTGAAAGCCCTATCCTGTTTCATTAGCCAGAACACAGCAAGGATTATGAAATGCATGCTTCCCTCACATTAGAAGCAATTGCAGACAATCATATTGTTCTTTTTTTGTAAAAATCAGCACTCTTCAATGTCATAGCAAAAAGATGAATCGATGATAAAGTGTGGCTGGAGAGGCATTTCCTCATAAAATTTCTAAATAAATTTTGCATCACATCTTATAATATTCTCTTGTCAATTATAAAAAAAGATTTTCTTCTATGTCACTACTCCTGCTTTCCATTGTTATCATTAAACTCAGAGCTGCTGAAAACTAAGGATTGCTCATACTAGCTTCAGCAACAAATACACAAACAGAAAACTCCTATTTCAAAAGCTTGTTGCAAAGCATAGTTAATGAGTAAATAGAATTTCTAGGAAACACTCTGACTCAGAAAGAGAATTATCAGAATAGCTTTGTGAAGTGGGAGTAACTATTTGATATGACTAGCCCGTTTGGAAACAGAAAGTCAATTAGTTTACTTCCCCCTGTCCTCCCTTTGGCCAGTCTGTCTTACTTGTTGTCCCTCTTTGATATCTTGTAGCTTTTATTATTATTTTTGCCCTATTAAGAAGTTCAACATACGGTCTCTTGAGTTTCCTTATTTTCACATGTGTTCAGGGACCAGATGCCACGGTTTATTCAGAATGGCAAGAATCTATGTATGAAAGTCGATGACATCCATTCTAAGGTACATATTTGTTATTAGAAAAGCAAGTAGCAGTAGGCCACAAGGCACATTTGTTTGTCCACTTCCTGTGCTAGCTAAGAAAACTCATGAGGAAGATTCAGAAAGTCTGTAGAATCCTGCACAGTTTTGTGTTGTCCATAGAAATTGAAGGTGTCCCCATTGGGAGTCTCACCACTTCTCTCTAGGCTGTTTGGAAACTTCATGGTTTTTGGTGCATTATATCAGGGTATGTGGACAATGGTGAAAGGGGATGGTGAAGTATTAAAGAAACACCCATGGCTGCATACATCAATAAAAAGCATCAGAGAGATCGAAATCATGAAATTCTTTTGTTTCCACAGTTGGATTCATTCCATTAACTGGCTTCCAGGGGCGTCCAGGACACTTGGGGGAAGTTATTTCTGGGAAATCAGATATCAGGTTAAATGAAAGGCTATTGGGCTCTATCTGGATTTCAGGGATCCAAGAATCATCATTCTCTGTGGGAGTTGGTGCTGTATTAGTCATCATAGCTGCAATGAGATCTAAGTCCCGAAATTCAGGAAAGGCAACTTCTACACCTGATGGGGCTAGGGAGGGGAGGGATTTTGGCCCTTCTGTCTTCTCTGGTGTCTGTGCAGATGTAGTACTATCTTCAGAAGAACTTGTCCTCCAATCATTGTGCTTTCCATTCTGTTTTCCTTTATTGTTATGTTTTACATGGCCATGACCATGCTCATGTTTATGTCTATGGGTTAGGCCATGTTCCCTTTGATGTCCATGGCCATGACCATGTCCCTTTTGGTGCCCATCGCTTTGGTCATGCTCATGTTTATGGCCATGGCCATGCCCATGTTTTATTTGCTTTTCATGGCCCCAGCCATGATCACGAGTGGGTCTTTGTTCATTGTCTGAATCCTGCTCTTCCTCTTGTACAGATGCCATGGAAGTGTGGGGTGGACTTACAGTTGTTCCTTCTTTTGTTTCCGCCACTTGTACGGATCGGAAAGGTGAAAAACCTGGAGGTCTTTTCAGCAATGAGGTCTAAACAGGAAATATTAAGATGAATGGATTACTGTGGAAACCACACTCTCAATGAAGAAAGAAGGGACTGAGATCTGGCAATGCTATCTTGGTTTACAATGGAGCAAGTCTTTAGCCAGGTTTTAAATGCTATGGTAATATTGCAAAAAAGATGAGAATGAATATCTTTTCCTCTTTAATTGATTTTATAATTTGTGGATATTTCTTAATAATACTCCTCTAAACTGGAGAGGCTTTTCTTCATCTGGAAAAATTGGGAGTTTGAACTACATAATACCATGGCACATTATTTATTAATTGATACTGGTTCTATTAGCACAATTACATTTTTTATACCAAAGGCCCTAAATGGCTTTATGGACTGAATATATATGCAGCATGTGCCCACAATTATTTTGTTGGGCTGAAACACATTGGGACATGTTTACAAGCTTGAAAAGCAGCCTTTGTATACTGTCTGTGTTAGACTACATATATACCTATACAGGGCAAAAGTCTAAATCAGAAAAAAAAGACAAGAGGCTACTCGCATTCAAGATCTGTATGATTTCTACCTACATTTCACTACTGGTGAGAACAGGATGCTGGAGGCAGTGTCAGTGGTGCAAAGAGCATGGTCTTTGAAGTCAAATAAGCCAGAGCCTAGTTGTTAGCATCATGTGAACACGATGACTTTGATTTGACCTACACTTGCATCCGTGCACCACTAGCTCCACTTTTCTCATCTCTAAAATAGGAATAACAGCAGCACCTGCCTCAGAGAGTTGTCAAGAGAAAAATATGTGTGAAGTCCTCAGTACAGTGCCTGGGACAGAGCAAGCACTTGATCATGTTACTATCCACTTCAGGATCTCATCATCTTTGTAATTTTTAGTGTCTCATCCTTGACAATGGGAAAAGTCTTACTTACCTCCCAAGATTCTCTTAAGAATTGTAAAACAGGATAAAAACCAATGCTTCTCACACTTGAATGTGGGTATGAAACCCTGGGGACCATGTTAAAATGCAGATTTTACATCACAGAAAGTTTTTTATGGCCGTCTGTATTTCTCCCAAGTCCCATGGATGGAGGCAGATGCCAGTGAAGCATCTCAGGCACATCTTAAAGCCCCAGAGCTAGTATTGGCTCTGCACAGCAGGGGCTGCCCTTCATTAAGAGAGAGCCTCCTGAAGGATGGGACACTGACAATGGGTGAGAAGTGATTAGGGGACTGACTGTTGTTTTCCTTTCTAGACATAAGAAAAGAGAGGTCAGCACAGAAATGTGAGAGTTCTCTCCATTCTAAAAAGATAGTCCCCCAATTCATTTAAATAGTGGTTCATTTTCAACCCCAAATAGGACTTTGTAGAATGAGCAAAATTTACCCAAGCTGACTAATTAGAAACATACCTTTCCTACTGATTGACATTTGACAGTAGGGTAAATTTTTTTCTCCCAAGGTACCACATAAACATCAGCAGTGCATCTTAGAATTTCCTATCCATGAAAACAAAAGCCAAAATAGAGAACAGTGTTATTCATGAAATACTTAAACAAGTATAAAATATCAAGTAGATATCCAGGGAATAAGTAGAGAGTTGCATGACTACTCACTCCAAGTTTATTGATCTCACAACTTTCAGTCAACTCTTTATTACTTTCCTTGGAACATGTGGTTTCCCTGGCCGTGAAGTCAACAAAATATTTTGTTCCAGCCACCATCTGAAAAATTAATTAGCACAAAGTAGAACCTTCATTAACATTATGTAATAAATGATATGTTTTTGCTCTAAGGAATCTTAGGGGAGAATATTAAAATTTTAATTAAACACTGCTCAAATGAGAGGTATACAAATAAAGTACAAATGTTTGACAACTAAACTCTTAGTTTGTATGCATGTGTAAAATATTTGGCTCTTGTTTGGTCTTGTTTCCTTTTCTATAAAAAGAAACAAGGCCACAATTTTTATTTTTATACTTTTCTGGTTTTTATTATTCAATAACATTCAAGCACTCAAGTTGTAATAGGATTTAAGAAGAGTAGGAAGAAAAACAAACATTTCCTTTAAGTATGCCTTATTGTCATGCCAAGTCTTGAATCAGAGAAATACTGAGTTAGTGTCACTACAGAAATTGTGGGTTAAATTATGTGATTAGGAAAATTCTTTGGATTTTGTAGTTTGCCTCTCTTAATTGTCATGTATTAAGAAACCATTTTAATCTCTACCAATAGTTTTTTAAAGTGGTTTTTTAGAGGGAGAGGAAGGAAAAGGGAGAGAGAGAAACGTCGATCAGCTGCCTCCTGCAAGCCCCTTTCTCGGGATCAAGCCCACAATCTGGGCATGTGCCCTTACTGGAAATTGAATGCACAACCTTTTGGTGCTCAGAACGATGTTCAACCAACTGAGCCACACCAACCAGTACTCTAGCAACAGTTTTAATCTTTATACAATGCTGTGTCCAAAATGCATATTCTGTGGCCCAATTTATTTATTTATACTGTATATAAAGAGCTAATATAATATGCAAATTGTCATCAAGCCCTCACACCCTCGCGCCAGAGCTGCTCAGACACTCAACACTGAGGAGAGAGGAATGGTGACCATCCAGGCACCAATGAGCTCGTGAGAGAGAAATGGGGATCTGCCAGGCACAAGTGAGGTCGCAAGAGAAGAATGGGGACTAGCCAGGCACAGATGAGCTCATGAGAGAGGAATGGGGACCAGCCAGGCTGTGGCCCAGAAGAGGGACAAGCCGCCTGCCCCGTGGTCCCAGGTGTCAGCAACTGCTCCTGTGCCTGCGGCCTGGGAGAGGGACAAGCCTCCCGCCCTACAGTCCCAGGCACCTGCGGCTGCGGCCCAGGAGAAGCTGCCCACCAATGGTCCCCTGTGGCTGCAGCCGGGGGTCCTGGGTGCCTGCGGCTGGCCAGAGGAAGGGAAGCCTGGGTCCCAGGTGCCTGCAACCGGCCAGAGGAGGGAATCCTGGGTCCCAGGTGCAGGGTGGGGCAGAGGTGGTTAGGGGTGATCAAGCAGGCTGGCAGTGGTGGTTAAAGGTGATCAGGCAGGCAGAGGTGGTTAGGGGTGATCAGGCAGGCAGGCAGAGGAGGCAGAGGAGTTAAGCGCAATCAGGCAGCCAGGCAGGTGAGTGGGTAGGAGCCAGCAGTCCAGGATTGTGAGAGGCAGTCAGACATCCCCCAAGAGGTCCCAGATTGGAGAGGGTGCAGGCTGGGCTGAGGTACAGCCTCCTCCCCCCACCGTGCACGATTTTAGAGCACTAGGCCTCTAGTTTTTATATAAAAGAGGCACACTTTATTTATTTAAAAAAAAACTCATGCTTTTTAAAATGCACTTACTTCAATAAAATTGCACATATAGCTTTTTAAAGTTCATTTTAAATATGCCATATCTTACATCTGTTACACTTAAAAAATATACTTGGTAAAAATGACTTTAAATTGTGCATTAAAAAGTTAGTTGATATGGTGAATTTCTAGTCCAAGTTATTCAGTACTTAATTCTAGGATCTAAATATGTGTGTGTGTGTGTGTGTGTGTGTGTGTGTGTGTGTGTGTGTGTGTAAAGAATACATGAATATATCAATTGACCTAGAGAGATGACTATTATTTTTTAAAAATATATTTTAATGATTTTTTTTACAGAGAGGAAGGTGAGAGGGATAGAGAGTTAGAAACATCGATGAGAGAGAAACATCAATCAGCTGCATCCTGCACACGCCCCCCCCCCCACTGGGGATGTGCCCCCAACCAAGGTACATGCCCTTGACCGGAATCGAACCTGGGACCCTTCAGTCCACAGGCCAACACTCTATCCACTGAGCCAAACCGGTTCGGGCATGACTATTATTTTTATAAATGAAGTTACAGCCCTGGTTGGTGTGGCTCAGTTTGTTGAGTGTCATCCCATGCACCAAAGGGTCCTGAGTTTGATTCTCAGTCAGGGCAAACGCCCAAGTTGTGGGTTTAATCCCAGGTGGGGTGGGAGGGTGTGAAGGAGCCAGCAGATTGAGGGTTCTGTCTCCTCCCTTCTTCTCTCTCTAAAATCAATAAAAGTGTATTAAGAAATAAAATAAATGAAGTTACAGGTGATAGAATAATCTCTTTTGAAAAAGCAAACCACAACAGTCTTCCCTATCTCTGAGTTTTTTAAAAGCATGGAAAACGTGTGGTGGGAGGAAGAGAGCAGGAGAACAGAGTCATAGGAAGAGCTAAGCTCCCCCTCTACTTTTTCTGGCATTGATCTGCTGAGTAAACATGGTTATATTTTTTAAGAAAAATTTGATACTTAACTTTTAAGACTCCAGGTGTAGATGTAAATGGGGAGGAAGTTTCTAAGAGGGTTATAGGGTCTATATTTTGGTAATCATAAGTTTTCTCGCTCATTTCAGAATATATCTTAATCCAATTTTCTGTAACAATAATGTTGATCAATGTAATGTTGCCTAAGAAACTTGACAATACGTGAAACAAACCACAGCTCATAGCTCAACTCTATTCAAGATCAAGAAGAAGTAATTAAATATATGTAAATCTCCCATTTGAGGGCCTCAGGATGGCATCTATATTGCCGTTATTATCAGGTGTCATTGGGGAAAATATGGTATAAGATTAATAATCTTATGCATGTAAAGCCCAACATGAAAAAATGAACAAAAGACATGAACAAGTATTTCAGAAAAGAAGTTAAAATGGTCATTAAGCCAGAAACAAATGACCATCTTCACTAATAACCAAAGACAAAAAAACAACAACAATGCAACAGCATTTTTAATCTTCCATATGTTGGCAAGGATAAAAAACAGTGGTGATACCTGGTATTGGCCACGTGTGGGAAGCATGCAGCCTCAGTCGCTGTTGGTAGGAATAGAACTCAAAGCAAGATGATCAAGGTCCTATAGCCAGGTGGTATGAATGTAAATTGGCATAATTGCAAATAGTTTGGCAATTTGGCAATTTGCATCAGAAGTCTTAGACATACTATACATATGCCTTGACATTTCTAGTACTTTGTTAAAGGAAAATTTCCTGAATGTGCACACACAGATCCTTGAAGTATATTCATCTGAGCAAAGACAGGGAGGAATATGGACAACAGTGGGGACAGTGGTGGCAGAGGCAGGGAAAAATAAACGGCCTGTGACAGAAATCACATCATTTACATGTGCAAATGGGGAATTTAAGAAATATTTGGCATCTGAAACCAGCTTGAAATGGACATGCATCCAAATAGGAATAATATGGAAAGCCAAGGCAAGACCAAATCTGTAAAATAAATCTTTGGCAAAAGTTGGTCATTTGGCAAATTCATCAAATGGTAAATGGATTTTGAGTAACTTGGCTGCTTCCAGCAGAGCTTTCTTGAATAATCATGTCAGAACAGCCAAATCGTTCTCTTTAAATGTAAAAACCAGTAAAGATTCATCTTTTGTATGTAAGTTTGAGATTCTCACCATATTTCAAATTGACTTGGCAAGAGAAGGAATGTCAGTTCCCTTCAATTAACAGCATTACCTGTTGTTGTTCCCCTGGCATCCTTAGTATAAACAAATACACATCATGCTAGAATGTTAATTCATTAATTTACAGAGAACTGTAAGCACTTTGGAGACTATATAGTTATGTATAAAATGAGTGCTTCTCTCCTGACGGCAAACCTCTGATATGCAATATATGGTGGAGTAGAGGGTATTCCTGCATCAAGAATAAGGGAGATTCACAAGAAAGCAGAAATATGAAGTGAGAAGAAAAGCTGACATACACAAGAATAGCATTCGGGGGTGTGGATGGGTAAGAGAGCAACCAAAGGACTTGAATACATGCCTATAAGCATAACCCATGGACACAGACCCTAGGGGGGTGAGGGCATGTGCTTCGGGGTGGGGACGGGCGGGGAGAGGTCAATGATGGGAATGGATACATATGTACTACTTTAGACAATAAAGAATTTAAATTTAAATAAACAATAGCATGTATTGGTGTACCATGTGAGTACACCACTAACATGGGTCATGTGCCTGTGAAATGAGGGAGAAAGGTTGTGGTGTCAGGGGCAGGAATAAGTGCCTGAGGAGGAGAGAGAGCACAGTGTCAGTTTTGACTTACTTTAATACCATTTGGTTAGGTTTCCCCTGCAGTAGTGAAACTAATACAGGAAATCAGAAGATGACAATAAACAGCCCATTGTGCCATCACCTAAACCACCACTGTGAGTAGTTGGAGGCATTTGTTTCCTTTCAGTATTGTTTTCTGTACTTTTTATAACACACCCGACAACAGAATGTATAGTCAATCTTATGGCCTCTTTTTTCCCCACTGCATATTTTAAAACAAGGCATTTCCCACATCAAGAACTCCTCTCAAAGATGCTTTGAAATTGCTGCTTGATACTCTATTTTAAGGATATTCCAGACATTATTTGATCATTTCTATAGTATTGATCATTTTGACAGTTTGCCATATTTTCTTTTATAGTTAAAGCTACAATGAGTATCATTGTCTATAAAGACTCTATTTTAAATTTCTAGAAATTGAATTACTGAGCCAAAAGTATGAATTGTTATCATTGTAGTACTGCTCCTCCCCCTCCCCCCAATCAGATTATGTTGGTTTGCTGAAACACTTTGCTTCTATTTTGATTACTTTTGTTGGTTCTATTTTGTTTACATTTAAGGAGGCTGGTTTATAATAAGAATCTGCCCATGAACAGATTACTCAGATGCTGTTAGAGTTGGAAGAATTTTGGGCTCTTCTCACCCAGCCATTCATTTTACAGATGGGGCCACAAGACTGAATGAGTCTAAATGACAGCCCAGGGTTACCCAGGGCATGAGGGCTGGTGCTCTGGTAGAACTGGGTCTCCTGACCCCACACTAGGATGCTCCTTATCTATTGACAGGGCATGGAAGGAAAGATGAAGCCCTAGGTGTACATTTGTGGGCTGGAAGGACACGTAGGCAGCGGGGAAGTGACCTGGAGGGGAGAGTGAAGAGAGTCTGGGTGATGATAGACTGACATGTGTCTGATCCCAAGGCACTAAGTGATGCTCCAACAAGAAATGATGCTAGAAAGGCAGAGAATAAGGGTAGCTTTTTTTTGACTTACATTTTATTAATTATATAATAGTTGCTAGAATTTTTATAACACTTTAAAGTTCGAGAAGATAATGTATTGACATATATGATCTCTCTTTGTTTGTTCCATTTATTTATGCATTCACTGGTTGCTTCTTGTATGTGCCCTGACTGGGGATAGAACCTGGAACCTTGGCATATCGGAACAATGCTCTAACTAACTGAGCTACCCGGCCAACGCTTGACATATATTATCCTATTTGAGTCTCACTCCAGTCCTTTAAAGACAGAAAATGGAACGTTCTAAATGACTTGTTCAAGGTCACATAGCAAGCATGTAGTGAGGTTGAGACTTGACATTCAATTCCTTTTACCAGGTATACTATTTCCCCACCCAAGATCAGTGGCAATATTAGTAAGCAGTTTGCACATAGACTATAATATCACTATTTTTGTAGCTCAATTTACAGACCTGTGATGTTGCTTTGTGCACAATGTCAATCTTGAAATAGAAAGTTGCATTACTCTCTGCATTAAGTTTTGTAATGGAATGAGTCAGAGCCTTCTTCAGATCAGGGCTGTCGACAGGAATCTCTTTGGGGCAGCCAGGGCAAGTTCTGGTAGGTGGTGGTACAAAATCCTCCCCTGAAAGAAGAATCAGACTTTTAGTCAGTGTGTGTACTGAAGGAGCTGTCTAGCTTAGTACCTCTCCTGCGCATTGGCCAGCACTCATTTATATGGGGCCATGTGCAGCCTAAAGGCCAGTAGTGATTGGGTAGAGTTTGTCTGTGTGACCTTCACCTTACTGCCTGCCCTCTTTTCCTTTCTTCAGAGTCAATGGCATTTAGGGAAACCTTCCATCAGAAGGTGTTAGTTAGTTCACCTTCAATATCAATGTGCTGCACTGTTCCTAAGTTTTTGCATTTTTGAAAGAAAGTGTAGAAAGGCAACACTTAATTTAAAGGAATGATTCTCTAGTGAGAAAATTTTAAGTCCTCTGATTCTGGTGAGGAGGGAGCTTCAGTGATGCTTCTCACTGTGGAATGTATGCAAATATCTTCCAAGTATGAAAAAAGCCAACTCTTGATATAAGAAACACTGGCTTGACCATAAACTTGCACTATCTCGCTTTTCCCCCATTATAACATGCAGGAGGAAAAAGGTATTTAATTGAAAGAACTTATTCTGAGTAATTAAATAGGAGATACAGCTTCCCCAATTTATAACACCTGATGTAGTGACATCTTATACACAAAGAAGACCAGCTGACATTGCATGTGGAGATCAGCTTTGCCCAAAGAACATTAACCTTCCCTTCTGTCACCATATTCCCTCTGGCCACTTGCAGAGCAGTCCTAATGGCATCAGCTACAGCACAGCTGTGCAGAAATGGGGTACAGTTGTAAGGGTTGCTGATTAAATCATGGGACCTAAAGCACAATTCCTATAAAAACACCTAGCCAGTTGTCTAAGATGAACATGTACTACTAGAGGACAAGCATGTATTATCGCATACCTGGTAAAACCTCACACTTCTGTGAGAAGGAAGCAATTCTTTGCTGAGGATCCATGTAAGCAAAATCTGTACATTCACCGGAATCCTAGTTTTAAAGACATAAATAAGTTAAAAATGTTTTTAAGAACTTTTAAAGTAAACAATTAATAACATTAAATATAGGATGTTGACTTTGCATAGAAAACAAAACAAAAGCAAACCTAATCCCATTGCAAAAGAGAATAAGAAACAATTAGGTATTAGCATCAACAATGATAAATGTATTTTCACAAACACGTGCAATAAGATGACCAGAATACCTAGCGTAGAAATAATAATTATATAGCCCAGGTCACATGGCTCAGTGATTGAGCATCAACCAATGAACCAGGTCAAAGTTTGATTTCTGGTCAGGGCATATGCCTAGGTTGCAGGCTTGATCCCTAGAGTGGGTTCTGCAGGAGACAGCTGATCAATGGTTATCTCACTCATTGATGTTTCTATCGCTCATGCCCTTTCTTTTCCTTTCTTAAATCAATAAAAATATTTTTTACAAATAACATATTTGAATGGGTAAAATTTCTTTTAGAAAGACAAAGAATTCCAGACCAGCCCGTGTGGCTCAGTGGTTGAATGTCAACCCAGGAACCAAGAGGTCACATTTAGATTCCTGGTCGGGGCACATGCCTGGGTTTCGGGCTGGATCCCCAGATTTGGGTGTGCAGGAGGCAGCTGATCAATGATGTTCCTCTCTCATTGATATTTCTAACTCTCTATCACTCTCCCATCCTCTCTTTCTAAAAATCAACAAAAACATTTTTAAAAAGAGAAAGGCAAAGACTTCCGTATTAAGTTAAAAACAAAATTAATGTATTACATTTTCAAGAATAATGTCTTGGAATATAAAAGATAAAGGTAGATTACACATAATGGATGATCAAAACTATATGAAGCAAATATAAACAGAAAAAGGATCAAGAGTATTAATATTGGACAAAGTAAAATTCAGGGTAACAAAAAAATCTCATGATGGTAGTAAAGAAGATAATTTTATTTTTATAAAGATATAGTCTAGAAGCATGAAGTTAAAATACATAAAGCAGAAATTAGATATATATGTGTAGAAATAGATTAAAATAATGGTGGTGGAGAAATTTTATATACAACTATAAATTTAAGATAGACCAGACCTACTTTGGAAGGAAAAACCAAGATGGCGGCATAGGTAAACACCGGAGATTGCTGCTTAGCACAACCACTTCAAGAATACAACTAAAAGACGGAACAGACATCATCCAGAACCACAGGAAGGCTGGCTGAGTGGAAATTCTACAACTAGAAGGAAAGAGAAAAGCATACCGAGACTTAGAGGAGGTGCAGTGCGGAAATAAAGTACAGAAGTATGGAGGTGCACACGGAGAGGGTTGGTGTCTGAGGACATGGTTGTCTTTTTCAATCAGTAGGGAGTCTCAAGCTCTGAGCTCCAGTTCTGGGCGAGTCTCTGGGGACCCAGACTCATACAGGAGAAACTGGACTGTCTGGCATCAGTCAGAACTTGAGGGCAGCTTTCTCTCGGACGTGCTTGCAGCCATTGCCGGGACACTGAGAAGCGGGGCCTCTGAGGGCAACCATAGCTGCTTGCTCCGCTCTGTTGATCCCCTGGAACCCCCGCCCCATCCAAGCTGTGCCCCTGCTTTTGCATATGAAAGGCCTGGCCCTTTGCAATCTGAAAATTACCTAACAAACTGCAGCTGGCCCAAGGCCCCATGGCAACTCCCATTGCTTCACAGCTGAGTTCCTGCTGGGTAGACTCAGGCAGAGGCTAGATTAGCACCTCCTTAGAGATCCAGGAGCCAGTGTGCCCAGTGGTCAGAGTGGGAGCATCCAGATTGCAGCTCCTCGGTTCCATAAAGGACACACTCAGGGGGCAGACTCAGTGAGCACCAAAGCCCCACTAAAGCAAGTCTTGCCCCAGAAGGGTGTCTCCAGCACAGAAGTTCTCCCACTGCAGACACAGCTGATTCTCACAGCCAATTGGCCTGGAGGTCAATTCCTCCCAGTGATACCTACAACAATCAAGGCTTAATTACAACAAGATTGTGCACAAAACCCACAAGGAGGTGCACAAAGAGTGTCCACCTCAGGTAATTGGGGAGGCTGAGCCCCTGGGCACTTAGGACACCTAGCACAGAAAGCCACTCTATCAACACAGGGAAGCATAAAAAATGAGGAGACAAAGAAACAGGACACAAATGACAGAAATGGAGGAAATATATAGAGTTCAAAACCACACCTTTAAGGTTTTCAAGAACTTTCTAGAAACCGCCGATAAATTTAGTAAGACCCTCAAAGAGTCTGGTGAGACCGCCGATAAATGTAGTAAGACCCTCAAGAAATCTAGTGAGACCCTCGAGGTTATGAAAAAGGACGAACTAGAAATTAAGCATACACTGACTGAAATAAAGGATATTATGCTGAGTTCCAACAGCAGACTAGAGGATTGCAAGAATCCAGTCAAAGATTTGAAATACGAAGAAGCAAAAAACACCCAACCAGAAAAGCAAAATGAAAAAAGAATCCAAAAATACAAAGATAATGTAAGGAGCCTCTGGGACAGCTTCAAGTGTACTAACATCCAAATTATAGGAGTGCCAGAAGAAGAGAGAGAGCAAGATATCGAAAACCTATTTGAAGAAATAATGACAGAAAACTTCCCCTACCTGGTGAAAGAAATAGACTTACAAGTCCAGGAAGTGCAGAGAACTCCAAAAAAATGAATCCAAAGAGGACCACACCAAGACACATCATAATTAAAATGCCAAGAGCAAAAGACAAAGAGAGAATCTTAAAAGCAGCAAGAGAAAGAAACTCAGTTACCTACAAGGGAATACCCATACGACTGTCCGCTGATTTCTCAACAGAAACTTTGCAGGCCAGAAGGGAGTAACAAGAAATATTCAAAGTGATGAATACCAAGAACCTACAACCAAGATTACTTTATCCAGCAAAGCTATCATTCAGAATTGAAGGTCAGATAAAGACCTTCACAGATAAGGAAAAACCAAAGGAGTTCAACACCACCAAACCAGTATTATATGAAATGCTGAAAGGTAACCTTTAAGAAGAGGAAGAAGAAGAAAAAGGTAAAGATACAAATTATGAACAACAAATACACATCTATCAACAAGTGAGTCTAAAAATCAAGTGAATAAATCATCTGATGAACAGAATAAACTGGTGATTATCATAGAATCAGGGGCATAGAAAGGGAGTAGACTGACTATTCTTGCAGGAAGGAAGGGGTTTGGGGATGCAGAAAGAGACTGGACAAAAATCGTGCACCTATGGACGAGGACAGTCAGGGGTGGGTGTGGAGGACAGAGGGTTGGGTGGGAACCAGGTGGAGGGGAGCTATGGGGGGAAAAGAGGAACAACTGTAATAATCTGAACAATAAAGATTTAATTAAAAAAAATAAAAAGGAAAAAAAAGGATAGACCAAATGGATGAATAAAATAATAAAAATGTATTTAGATGGTATTTTCATATAATCCATATGACTTAAATAATATTTTTTTAAGTATGATACATATATTTTAATTGCTTTTATATTAGATTACAAAAAGGCTCAATACATTTTCAAATCAAAATAATACAGGCCATGTCCTTTGACCTCAGCACCAAAAGAAAACAATTTTAAAAATACATTTAAACAAACAAAAAAGTAACTACTTGGAAATCTAAACATATTTGCCTAAATAGTCAGGGTCTTCTTTGAATAAGGAAAAATATAGAAAACAAAATAAGAAAACTGATAATTTTACAGAATTGACAGAGCAGCATTTGGAATTAAACTCATGGCTTTATATGCTTTCATAATTTAAAAAGAGAGAGGCAAGAAACAAATGAAACAACCTCAAACTGAGCTGTTTACATCAGGAAGTTAGAAAAAGGAAAAAAATAATAAATAGCCTTAAGCAAAACAAAAAAGGAGGAAACAATAAAGCAACACTGATGAACTAGAAAGCAGAAAGCACTAGCATTAGTGAAATAATCCAAAAATAAATCCAAATGCTCCTTCTTGGGATAAGGAAAAAAATCAAATGCAAAAAAAAAAAAGGCATCATAGCAAAGGAACAAAGAAGCTAAAAATATAAGAGAATAATTATGAACAAGTGTATGCTACTTTAAATCCCAAAGAAATGGATACTTTTCTGGAAAACTATAAATAACCAATGCTGACTTAAACACAAGAACATATTTGAATGAACCAATAACTGAAGAGCAGAGAATGCTATCATTACTCTCAACTTCCATTCCATTTCTCACCTCCAAACAACATAGATGTTTTATAGATGAATAATTTTTTAAATTAAAGGAAAATTTAGTTCCTTGCTATGTAAACTGTTTCTGAATATAAAAAATACAGGCAAACTACCCAAGTCAAAAAATAGTGGCTAACCACCTAACTAAAAAATAGAAGGCAGTAGGAAAGAGGAAAACCAAATATGACATATGTTTTTCTTACAATCTTATTCTAAGGTTGGTTTTGAAGTTATAAACACTAGAATAATAAATCACAAATTTAAACCTACTATTAAAACATGGCAATACAAATATATTAGTATATTAGTAGAGAACAGGTTTTTCATAAGAAACTATTATGGAATTAAGGTTGTCACAAAATTATGTATAAAGGAAGAATGTTGAGATATCTGGTTATTCTCTTGAAAAAAAAGCCTCAATTTAGAGACCTCAAAAGATACATTAAAATTAATTCCAGATAGGTTCAAAAGCTATATTTAAAAATATTGACTAGACAAACTAGGGGAAAAAGATGAATACTGAGCAAATGGTGGAAGAACTCAAAAGAAACATGTTATTAGATTTGGTCATCAATAAGCAAAATCTATTGGTAAGTCAGAATACCATAATGAAAACTAAAAAATGAACAACTGAGAAAATATGACAAAATACTGATACCTTTAATACAGAAATAGTTTTTTTTTCAAATAATTGAGATTTATCCCAAAGAGAAATGGACAAAGGATATGGAAAACAATTCATAAATTTCTAACAAATTTCTATTTATGAAAATAAGAACATACCAAATACAGAAATAGCTTTATTCTCAAGAATGTTTGGTGAGTTATTAATGATAATAAAAATGGAAACACTCAAATGTCTAACTATTTGAAAATCATTTAAAAAAACAATCTATCATATCTTTAATAGGATATTATACATTTATTTAAAAGAAAGTTTATCAAGAGTTTTAATGAGGTAGGAAAATTCTTATGTGAAAAAAATGCATCATGTAAGCCTGGACAGCATGGCTCAGTGTTGAGCGTTGACCTATGAACCAGGAGGTCACTGTTTGATTCCTGGTCAGGGCACATGCCTGGGTTGTGGGCTCAATCCCCAGTGTAGAGCATGTAATATTTCTATCTCTCTCTCCCTCTCCCTTTCTCTCTGAAATCAATAAAAATATTTTTTAAATGCAGCATGTAAAATAATGACAATTATTAACCAAAAAAATCACCAAATTGTCTATATCTCCTCCACTCTTCCACCCCCCAAAAAAAGATAAGAGTGAAATACACTAAGATATCTTTGGGTATTTGGGTATGTGGTTTAATATTATTATTGTTTTCTATGTTTCTGCATTGCCTTCTGCATTGGAAATGTTTATTTCCAATAAGGGGATATATATAATGTCATAGTTGTTAAAGATACAAGGAATACCACACTTATAATACCTTAATTTTGAATGAGGAGATGGATACCGGCAGTAGCTCTGAATTTCTCAATTCTATTAGCATATTTGATTCACGTAGAAGCTTTTAGGTTATTCTGACTCTAGAGACCCACCCCAGACCTAATCAAAATGCCTGGGGGAATGGTAGGAGTAGTTATTTTTAAAGCTGGCAATGTGATTCTAATATGCAGTATGGCCCAAGAACTATTTATGAAACTCTTTAATCAGTGCTTTTCCAACCTTAACGTGCAAATGACTCACCTGAGAATCTTGTTAACATGCCGATTCAGTAGGTGTGGGGGGAACTCAAGATTTGGCTTTTCTAACAAGCTCCCTGGTGATGCTGATGCTGCTGGTTCAGGGACCAACTTGGAATGGCAAGGCCTTCAGTCTTACCAGTTGTAGGCAAGAGAGTTCATGTATATTTTGTGTCCTTTAATTATTGTAACAACGCTGTGAGACCGGTGCTGTTATTCCTCACCATTTTACAGATGAGGAAGTGGAAGCTCAGGAAGTTATACCAGAAATCTGATTGGATTTGTGACTCCAATCAGCCCTGCATCTGTGTGTGTTGCAAAGAAAGAACTAAATTGAGGCCTTACAAACAGATGCAGGGAGATTAAAGCTAGATAACATTTAAGCCTATATAATCTCAAAAGGCTAACTAAAGAACATAAAAAACAAAAGGTGTTAATAGATGCTTTAAAGGCCAGATGACTAAAAATAACAAAGTTAAATAGGAGCTAGAGCATACATTTTTGAGAGGGTTTCTCTCTCCCTCCCTCTCTCTCTCTTCCTTTTTACTATTTTTTTTAATATGGTAAAATATATGTAACATAAAGTTTGCCATTTCAACCATTTTTAAGTATATAACTCAGTGATATTAATTACATTTTAACCATCACTGCTATCTATTTCCAGTAGTTTTCATAACCCTAAACACAAATTCTGTACCCATTTAGCAATAAATTCCTATTCTCCCTCCCCCTAACCCTTTGTAAACTCAAATGTACTTTTGTTTCTATGCATGTGTTAGATATTTCATATAAGTGGAATCATACAATATTTGTATTTTTATGTCTTTCTTCTTTCACTTAGCATAATGTTTTCAAGGTTCATCTACGTTGTAGATTGTGGCAGATTTCATTTCTCTCTATGGCTAAAGAACATTCCATTGTTTTATATATACATCACATTTTGTTTTTCCACACATCTGTTGATGGACACTTGGGTTGTTCCCACTTTTTGGCTATTGTGAATAATGTTGCACCGAATCCTGGCATGTAAGTATCTGTTTGACTCCCTGTTTTTTAATTCTTTTGGGTACATACCTAGGAGTGCAATTGCTGTGTCATATGGTAAGTCTATGTGTAACTTCTTGAGGAACTACCAAAGTGTTTTCCACAGTGGCTGCACCATTTTACATTCTCATCAGCAATGGACAAAGGTTTCAATTTTTCCACGTCCTCCCCAATACTAGTTATTTTCCAATTTTTAAAAAATTATAGCCATCTTTTAGGTGTGAAATGACATCTCATTGTGATACTCTCTTGTAACATGTTTTACACACACACACACACACACACACACACACACACACACCGTCCTAGCTAATTATGTTGAGCATCTTTTCATGTGTTTAATGACTGCATATCTTCTTTAGAGAAATGTTTATTTTAAAGTCCTCTGCCCATTTGAAAATTAGGTTGACTGTCTTTTTGTTGTTGTTTTATAGGAGTTATTTATATATTGCATACTTAATTGTTATTAGATATATGATGTAAATAATTTCTCCCATTTTCTGGGTTGTCTTTTCACTCTCTTAATAGTATCCTTTTAACTTTTCTCCCAATTAAATAAATGCATGCATGGTTAGAAACATTGGCAAGTACTAAAGAGTTCCAAAAAGTATAAAATCAAAAAAGGCACCCATAGTTCCAACTGAAAGTTTACTCTGTTTTATATTTTTGCATATTATTTTCATCACTTAAAATTTTTTTATGAGTTCCAGTGGTCGGCAAACTGCGGCTCGCGAGCCACATGAGGCTCTTTGGCCCCTTGAGTGTGGCTCTTCCACAAAATATCGACTTCTGCGCATGGGCCAAGAAGAGTCAATCGCACAGCACGTGCGTGCCCGCACGTGGGATTTTGTGGTATGTTGTTAGGAAAACTAACAACATATGACAGGGAGCAAGATCTCAAATGCTCCCCTCCATCACTTTTTTTGTTGTTGTTAATCCTCACCTGAAGATATTTTTCCGTTGACTTTAGAGAGAGTGGAAGAGAAAGGGAAAGACAGAGAGAAACATCGATGTGAGAGAAACACATCAATAGGTTGCCTCCTGCATGTGCCCTGAACCAGGGCCTGGTCTGGGCTGGAAGGAGCTTGCAACTGAGTAATGTGCCCTTGACCAGAATTGAACCAGGGTCCCTTTGGTCCGCAGTCCGATGCTCTACCACTGAACCAAACCACCCAGGGACCCTCCATCACTTTTGATATTTACATTTACTTTATATATTTAAGTGAATGTGTATCTATAATTTTATATATATTTTTAACTTACCATATTATAACCATTTTACTGTCACTAAAAAATCTGTAAACATACCTTTAATGGCTGCACATATTTTACTGTGTGGATATACTGTAAGTTATTTAAACATTCCCTAATGTTGAAAACATTTCCAATGTTTTTCTATTAATAATAATGCTGAAATTAATATCTTAATGTCTGGGTTTCTCATATTCTTCCCACAGAATAGAATTGTAGAAGTAGAACAACAGACTAAAGGGCTTCAAGCAGTCCCTTGCTTAAAGTAGTTTTCTGCTAAAATGCAAATATCCCAGGGATGGTCATTGTGCCTTAGGGATCTGCACCTGCATTAACTACTGCCACCTTGTGATCCTCTCTTGTAACATAATTTTGGTTCTGATAAAGTGATGGAGGCTCAGGATATGTTATTAAAAATAAAGAAAGGGGAGGGGATGGGAGAAAATAAGCAAAGGCAAGTTTGAAGTTAAGGAGTGTCCTGCGCAGAGCTCAGGAGCACTGGGAAGGACCTTAAGCAGGTGGGAAGAAAGGGAGACAGGAAAGTGTGAAGACATGAACAGACAAACTTGACATGGCATCATTTTATCTCAAGCCCCGGTTATGTCTGTAAATGCTTATTGCCAGATGTACAGATCTTTTGACCAGGTAGGTAAGGCAGCTTGACTAGTGACATGGAGAATGTGGCTGTGAGTTCATGCATTTCATCTAAAATCTTAGTGCCAAGTCTTCCTATGTGGCTGAGTATTCCCACACCTGTAAATACTGGACACCAAATGCTAATAACTTTATAATCATTTTTTTGCGTACTTACACCATTGGAAAGGGCCTTGCAGTCTTGGTTTAAGAATTTAAAATTCTCCTTGGAACAATTAGTTTGCTGAATTAAGTAAGTAACTTCATAGTTCCATCCAGACACCACCTGAAACAATGTTGAATTGAATAGGTAAAGGGCAGTTTAAACATTATTCACTATGTTATGAGGAACTTAGAATACTGCCTGGCATATTGCAAGTACTCAAAAATATAAACTCTTAGTACTAAGCAAAAGTCATGACTGAATAAATATTGAGCACTTTATGACTCTCACACTCCTCAACACACACACACACACACACTCTTACACATCTGAAAATAAAAAGCAATATATAGGTGGAGTTACTGTATTTTCTTAAGAAAAACCTAGCAACATTTCCTCTGCCAGGCAACAGAAAAATAATGTCCCTTTGAATTTAGTGAAATATAAATAATACTCTTCTAGATGGTTAAAAACACTTTGGAGCTAGAATGGCCTTTACTGATAAGTTCTCAGGTTCCCAGACAGACAGGCAGTAAGCTTTGTGCTGCTCTATCTTGGGCTAGTCCCACTCCGATAGCTGGCTATGAACATAATTGAAGAGAACATGATCTTGCATGAAGGGAAGTTGGATGGTCTATTAAAAGCAGGGAATGTTACTGACTAAAGTAAGTCCCTCATAATTAGACAATGAAATACAAGGAACCCAGTCAGCTGTCAGTAAAGACTTAGTGAACTGGGTCAATGAAAAGGCCAGATTTCCAAGTATTTACTTTCTTTTAATGATATGAAAACTATAATTTAGAGAGTGCTCAGAAAGCCGTGCCAACTGTTTGGGTTCCATTTCATATTTTGGAGCCATGTTTGACTCATGCTGCCTAAGTGATAATGTAATTTTCTTAAAACCTTAAGGCTAGAATGATCTTTTCATCTCACCATCTCTAAGAAAAACATGTATTTCTGACTACCCATTCATTAAAACCAGCCTCAGAGCCAGGGGTCTGCTTAGCCACACTTTTGCCATTTATATATTGCATTATCCCAATCACTTTGCCTCAAGAGAAAGCTCTTTACCTCCTATGCCAGTCACATGAGGACATAAAAGAGCTCCCCCACCACCACTCGTGGAATCATAGGTTTCCTATTGACCAGTGGTTTACTTTAGGTTATGAAACCCTAAACACAAAGATCCAACAAATTTTAACAATACTGTGAGAAATGAAAACTAAAGCACAAACCTGTCTCTGTGCCCTTTTTACTTCCTTAAGAGCAAAGAGGTGGGAATGATTAGTGTGGTTGTTGAAATGCTGAATGGCATGTCTCAGAACAGGGTCCAAGTCAGGGCTGGCAGTCGATATGGGGTGCACGCAGCCAAAACATTCATACTTGGAGGTCACCACAGGGCCCTCGGCTTGACAAAGAGTAGGCAAAAGGGCAGCGTTAATGAGCAAAACCTGCATTAACATACATTGTCCTATATAAATAAGATAATTTCAAAGACCCTGGTAAACAAACTTTCTAGTACATTCTAGTATGTATTAGAAAAAGAGAACATAGGACTGCTTTTTTGTCAGAGAGAAAAAAAAAACCTACCATTGACTTAGGAACATCTTATGTGCATACTATTGTGCATAATTATTTTAAATTTATCTAAAAATCATTGTAAATTATAGAAATAATACATTAATTTTTCCTCTTATGAAAAATTAAAACAGTACAGATATAGTATTATTTATTTTTCAGTGTTAATTAAAGCTCATTGAAGCCTCTTTCAGCATATAATATGTTTTATATCAATTCATTTCAACAAACATGTACATTTTTTAAAATATATTTTTATTAATTCAGAGAGGAAGGGAGAGGGAGAGAAAGATTGAAACATCAATTATGAGAGAGAATCATTGATTGCTCCCTCCTGCATGCCCCCTACTGGGGATCAAGCCCGAAACCAGGCATATGCCCTTGACTGGAATCAAACCTGGGACCCTTCAGTCCTGCAGGCCAACGCTTTATCCACTGAGCCAAACCAGCTAGGGCAAATATATACATATTTTGCTCCTTCTGTAATATGTCAGGTGCTGAGCTAGAATGTGTGGTTATGTTAACTTGTTAGTAATGGTCACTGTGGTGTTGGAGAGCATAAGAGACTTGGTTGGAAAGTTGTAAAGAGGACATTCTGATAAAAGGGAAGTGTGTGGAAGGCCACCTTCCCTGTTAATCAGAATTCCAACTTAGGGGAGACATAGGGGAGTGTCGAAGGTGGTGTCCCTAATTATTCCTTGAACTTTCCAAACAAGTCTGATTACATACAGACCCCAGGTGTTTACTGGAATCCGTATGCTTAATCCCTGGATGCCCTTGCCTAGAGGACAATATAAACACAGGTGTCATCCCAAGATTACTCACCCTACTGATCGTATCTAAAGATAAAAACTGCAATAAAAGGCTAACAAAGCAGGCAATGGAGGCTGCTCTGGCCGCTAGAGCCAGGAGCCCCTTAGCCCTCTCTCTCACAGTCAAACTGAGTCTGAGTAATCTGTTCATACATCATTCAGGGGCTGCTGGTCAGCCCCCGCAGTAGTGAAGGTGTTGAGCAAAGTGGAGTGGGAGAGACAGAACTGCAGATAGATATTTCAAAATAATTTAGCAAGAGCTTGGAAAGGCAGGAGTCCAGAGTGAGCTCAAGAAAGACTTTCATGAGGAGAAGAGGCCTGAGCTAAGAAGGGTGTAAAGTGGTCAAGGTCAACTGGGCAACATAAAGTGTGAGCCTGAGAAGGAGGAACAAAGGGAGGAATGGCTCCAAGAAAGCAGGATGAGTCAGGGGCAGCGTGTGGGATGCGGTGTATACTTTTTACTGGGGCTTAAAGCAGGAGGCAGGGACTGGCGATTGAGGTCTGGACAATTAATAGAGAGTCCTCTGCTGTGGAGCCTGGGCCACTCTGTGGAGGCCAGGGGTTATGAACTGTATTCCAAGGGTCATGGGCTTCTTGGTGAACATGCTGAGAACTAGGGCGCCCTCTCCAGGAAAATGCCGGTACTCACAACGTTCTCCATGTAATTTCAGAGTGCGCATAGACCCACTGAAGTGAATTAAGAGTGGTGGGCTGTAACGATGGGGTGCACCGACGGGGTTTTAAATAAAATAATGTAAAATATTAAAACAGGAGCGAGCTTGTATTAAGTTACCAAGTAATGTTTATAACAGATAGCCTTAACCCACTGCTCAGTAGAGACACACGCTATAGAGGGGAAACCATGAAGGCATCCTGGGCCCCTTTGCCCTGGGCTCTCACTGTCTGAGTGTGCAGGACCCAAAGAGAATCAGGAGCAACAGTGTTCTACAACAGTGTCCCTCAGTTGCGAGTAGGTCAACACAACTCCCCTTGCAGCTGTTTCTTGGCCCTCACTCCATAAGCATGTGTGTCAGAAAAAAGACTTACTGGGTGAATATTCATAGCTTTCCTCAGTGCTCGACCCTTGCAGAAGGTATGTTGCATCAGGGCAGTGGACAAAGTTAAGAAACTGGAGGGGACTTACATGGGAAAGGAGAGAGAATTACTGGCGGCAGGACAAAAGATTGATGAACACAGAAGGGGGTGGGGGAAGGGAGTAGAGACCAGAGGCTGGTAGGCTGACCTCAAGGGCAGCTCTGACTCGGGTAAGAGGAAGATGGCACAGACTTTTGAGGGTGAGAGGAGTAGGGAAAGATGCAAATTCAGTTTTTCCAGGCAATGGAATGATTTTTCATCCTGCTCCAACATTTCTAGGGAGATTTTTAAAAAATTTTAAAAAGATTTTAAATTTTGAATTCTGAAACATATTTGGCCAAAAATGTTTCAGATAAGGGATTGTAGACCTAGTAGTAATTGTGGATCTACAAGGTGTGGCAAAGAGCTTTTTCGCTCATAGTATATAAGTGCTGGGTTCTGGATCATGTGAAAATTTGCTTAGAGACAACAGTTCTTAAACTAAATAATAAAAAGCTACTCCATTTTTTAAAAATTGTGATTTCTTTTCTGTTTTGGACTGTTTTTCTTTCAATGCCACTTGTTAAAAGAGCTGAAACTCAAGAAATATAGTTTTTTAGGGTTCCTTATGGATGACTAAGTCCAAGATAGAACAATTGCTCCTAAACTGATGTTCACGAGTGTGGCTGAAGATGCTGTTCTGGAGCCTCATATACTAAAACCCTATCTTGCAAAAGGCCAGTTCTGGGTTGGCTTTTGTGACTGACATTCCCTAGATGTGCCCATTCTTCTGCACCCAGCCACTCTGCCACCAAAGGGAAGGAGTTAACAGTGGTTATATCTCTGCATAAGTTGCTCCATTCTTATAAGGTCTACTATACCAACTCTGCTAATTGCTAGCTATGGGATACTGGGCAAGATACTTAACTGTGGTGGGCCTGGGTTTCCTCATTTGTAAAATGAGAATATTAACACTTGCCTCATAGAATTGTTGTGAGGATTAAATAAATCAACATGTGTAAAACAATTAGCACTGTGGCTACTTATGTGCTCAATAAATGTCAGCTTTGATTACTTTTATTCTGATGATCTTCAATACAGTTTTATGCTTTAACTTCAAGCCTACCATCGAGTTTCAGTCTACAACAACCCTCTGAAGTGAGAATTCCTCTGATCCCCTTTTAAGGAAAAGGGAAACCAAAAAGGTGAAGATCTTTTGAAAGATTGCAGGCCAGATCTGACCTCAAAGCCTGTGCTTTTCTGGCTCTAGGACACCCCCACAGTTGAAGCATTTGGCATGTTTTCTAGTCCTTTCCCAGGGCCTTTGCACACACCTAATTCAGCCCTACTGTCCAGGGAGAGGCCAGGGGATGATTGGCAGGAGCCTGGCCCCACCTCAGGACTCTGCCACCATAGACACCCCCCACCCTCCCACCCCCAACAAGGCTGCTAATGGCATTGCACACCACCCACTGCCCTCTGGGAAAGGGCTTTGTCCAGTTTATGCTCCTGGCCCCACATGGAAATGGTTCAATTCCCCCCAGGGCAGTGCCACCCTATATATCAGCTACCTGGAATAATGTTGCAGGTCTGGGTAGCCACAGAGAATTTCATATTCGGTCTCTTCCCTATGGTTGCTGTGCATTCTCCTGTGGCCTAGAAAGAAAGAAAGAAAGAAAGAAAGAAAGAAAGAAAGAAAGAAAGAAAGAAAGAAAGAAAGAAAGAAAGAAAGAAAGAAAGAAAGAAAGAAACCATTTATCTTAATCTTTCAGATGGAGAAGTGCACCTAGTGCTGTTGCTAAGTATGGCTTTTCTCTTCTTTAAAACTTAGGATTTTTTTCTAACAGGTTTGAGACACAAGAATGAGTGTTTTTGTAGCCTAATCATTATTATTTACAAGTCATTGATATTACAGTTCATGAAATGTTGGGAGGAGAGGCAATATAGATAATGAGGTGTTAAATAATGTCATGTTTGGAGCACTGGAGATATTTCTTTTTCACCAAGGTGAACACAGTGCCCTAAAACTAGCCTGCCGAACTCTCCTCTTACAGTTCAACTTCAGGGTTCAACTGCACAGTGGATGCGGTGTTTTTGATACCATTGTAATAACCAGGTATTAACTGAAAAGGAGCAAAGGGAAGGCCAAATAGACACATGCCCAGTAACGTCTGGGTGACCTAGGGAAGGTATTTATCTGTCAATCACCCCTGGGAACATAGTCGGTGTGGCCACTGCAAGCACAGGAAGATTTCAGATATTAAACTTCTAAACAAAGGAGTTCTCTCTCTCTCTTGCCTCTCTTGCACACTGGGGCTCTGGCTCTCTTGTTGCAGGCGACACACTTCCCTGCATGCACCCACATGGCCCACAGCCATATGTCCCCCCCACACCCACACAAACAATGGACTAATGGATGGGAACTAGCCTGATGCTGTGCGGGACCCAGCTCCACCATGGAATAGAAACTTGGGACATTGGTTTGGATTTTGGCTCTGCTGATTCCCCAGCTGCACCTCTTTTAGGACTGGTTTAAGGGAAATGGGACTTTAGAAATGCAGATATGGAATTCCACACAAATAAAGATCTCTCATCTTCCTGTGTGAGTCTTAGAAAGTTCTTTTTCTCAAGATATCATGAGGTCCTGACCCCCAACATCCAGTGGGGAAAGGGATCCCCCACTTCCCACCAGTGGACACCCCATTTCCACCAATAACATTTTGACATGTTAAATAAGTGAGTGCACGGTCTGTGGAGTGGCTTCCTTCCTGGCAGATACTGGTTGTTAGCTCCCTCAGGTAAGGCCAAACAACAGCTGTGGTGTGGCATACAGATGGTGGGCATTTGGTTAAGATACATTCCAATTTAAGTCAATTTTACCTCCCTTTTATAAGGGAGCCCATGGGTTAAAAGTGGTCAGCTAATTAGAGGCAGAGTAGAATTCCAACTCAGGCCGGCACAAATAAAGCACCCAATTGGTCATAGGAGTCCCCTCTTCATGGGAGGGCTTTCTCCAATCTTATGACTGGCCTCTCATGCCCTTTCTGTCTGTGCAAGAACATAGACATCAACCATTTGCCTTTTGTACACATATGAGCGTTTATGTGCACCCCTCACAAACAGGCTCCACAGTACTCATCACCCCCAGCACTAATAGAATAATTTGGTCTCGATTGAGAAAACTGGAGGCTCCGGACCATCACACTTACAGCTTGCTCAGCTTCTTTGTAGTCACAGTCTTGCCAGGTTTTGCCACTTTGGACAGGACAGTCGCCCTCCTTGATTTCATACTTGACAGAATAAAATATATTCTCATCTTCCTGGAAAAAAACAATCAAACATACATAGGGCTCATTCATCTGACAACAGCAGACCATTGGAGAGGGATCTGGTGCAGTTATGAATGTTTGATATTGATTTAATTCAACAAGAGCAAAACATTTACTAAAAATAATGAAAGTTACAAATACTTGGAAGAATGTTCATAATATATTTATAAACATGTATTTTCAAGTAACAAAGTAGTATACATAGTATTAGCCTATTTTTGTAGAAAGCAATTTACATGTACATATATGATTTTAAAAACCTGAAATTTATGCAGCAAAGCTGTTAACATATTGCATCTCAGTGGTGGGTGTATGGTTATCTTTTACTCTCTTCTTTAACCAAACATTCCTAAATTGTCTGAGTATTTCCTTGAAAACAAATATATGGTACTTTTACAATTAGAAAATAAACCAACAAACAAGAGTATTTTCTTCTTTCATTTTTTTGAAAAAAAAAATGTTAACAGGTATCTCTGGATGATGGGGTTAGTTATGGGTAATTTTAGTATTTTTATTTGGTTTTGTTTGTTTTCTATTTTTTTCTAACATGTCATAAAATAATAAATAAAAATTTTAAAGCTTAAGATTCCGAGTTAGATGAGCTTTTAGATGCAAAATCCTGGCATGTTGGAGCAGCAAGAGACCTGAGAGGTGTTGTTTCCCAGCCCCTCACTTTGCAGGTGAGAGAAAGGAGGCCCAAGTAGAGAGGGCAGATCTTAGGCAGCCTCCCACCTTGGAAAGGCAAAGCCAACCCAGACCCAGGGTCTCCTGAGTCCAGGGGCAGTGCTCTCTCAGGGCCTGCACTCGTCAGAGTATTTGCATCTGAGAGATGATGGAGTCAAACACGATTGTTCCGAGGTTCGTTTCAGGTCTCAGATTTAGATAAAGCAGTAGGTGATAGTGATTCTGTGGACATTTTAGAAAAAAAAATACCCAACAACAACACTTTTGCCACAGATGTCCGCCAATGACCACAACACCAATAAAACATTGCCGAAGGCACCAGGACTCGCATGACTACACTAGCTTGTAAAACAGAATGGCTCAATGTTACTTTCAGAAATAAATAAATAAATAAATAAATAAATAAATAAATAGCTAGCCCAATGGGCTGTTTTCTTTCATCTCATCATATCAAATGGATGGATTTTTTTCTTCACAGAGACATAGTGAAATTCATTTGAACAAATTATTGAAAGTTTGTATTTTTTTATCTTTGCTTTTTTTTCTTTAAAAATAATTTGTTTTCTCTTGCATGACATAAGACTTCTAGTTTCAAAACAGGGTACATCAAAAACAAAAATATCCCCCCTGTGTCCCATCTTTATTTTCACCAATGCAAGAAATCCTTCTGGAATATCAGTACGCTATTAAATAGGTATTGAGCCACTGAATCTACAAGTTAATACATATTTTGTAATGACAGAATAACCAAGAATTTACCCAAAGAAAGATGTTAATTTTCAAAATATAAAAGGGTCTAAGATGATCATATGAGAACAAACAAAAATCTCTTATGCCAGGTTTTTTAGGCTAAAGATGGATAACACACTAGCAGCTGAAGAAAGCTGAAACTATACATAGATCCAAATTAAGAATTTCTACATTTCTTTAGAAAACAGAACCAGAATTCCTTTTTTAAAAATGGCCCTGTGGAATGCCTTTGCTTCCATATTTACCTAATATTGTAACAGTAAAACAGACACAAGAATGTTGATGACAGCTCAACAATGCTGGATGCAGGACATTTACATGTGCACTTTTGTTTAAAAGTCCCACAGGTTTATTGACTAAGGCTGGACAGCAAGTCATATGATCCTATTTGATACTTTTTCTACAGTGTCCAAGATCATTATATGGATACAGCCAAAGACTGGGCCCAACTTTCATGAAAATGACCACAAAGAAGAAAATCAGGGTAGCGTTTTAGTCCCCCTAGTTAATTTTTTGAACTGGAACAACAAAAGGTGGAAAACACAGAATGTAATGAATTAAAGGAGTTGGAAAAAGTTGGTGGAGAGAATTATGGTATATGAGTAAGGTCATTGGATTTGGGATGTCAAGCACAGTGCAAAAAAGAGCATCCATGGGACCAGGTATTTATAATGTCCTGTGGTGTCACTCCCTCAATGACATTATGATAACTATATGCAATAATAAATAGATCAGTTATGCAACAAGGCAGAGTGTCAAATATGCATTCGTCCTGTGGAATGAAACACCACAGAGATACTTGATACCACACACATTCTTTAAGTGCTCTTGTGTTGTGTCTGATTAGCTTGTTTTTCAAAGCCACCCAGGCAAACTCCTCCCAGGGATGTCCTTGGAGAGAAGAGTGGTCCACTGAGCCTGGTTTACTTAATATTTCCTTTATCAAGAGATGATAATTGACTTTAAAGAGAAATAAAGCTAAAGGTTGTATGATTTTGATTTTTTTTCCTTTTCAGTTGCATCATTCTGAATGTTTTCATATAAACAACAACAACAAAATCACAACTAAACCCTCCCTCCTGCCCCCCAACCTAATAGTTTTGATGCATCCAATTGTATTTCTTGGAATCACACATCCTGCCAGGATTTATCTTCAACCTGAGTGTATCCATCAGTGATAAAGAATATTCTAAACCAACTAGAACATTGCTGTTACCCTTGATGCATTCAGCTATTGGAACTTCATGGTAGATATTTTATCTAATATAGTAGAACTATATTAACTTCTTTTCTGACTCCTCTTAACATACCCCACTGTCCCTCACTTACCTTAGTTTTATTGAAGTATAATTTATTGAGGTATATTTATTGAGATATAAATAAATCATATATATTTAAGATAAACAAAAAGATGATTTGCTATATGTATACACTGTGAAATGATTACCACAAATAAGCTAATTAGCACATTGTCACCTCACATAATTACCTCTTTTGTGTGTGTGGTGAGAACCCTTAAAATCTAGGCCTTTAGCAGATTTCAAGTATACAATACAGTAGTATTAATTTTATTCACCATTCTGAACATTAGACCCCCAGGACCTACTCATCTTATTTTCTTAAAATATGTTTTTATTGATTTCAAAGAGGAAGGGAAAAGGAGATAGAGATAGAAACATCAATGATAAGAGAGAATCACTGATTGGCTGCCCCCTGCACACCCCTACTGGGGATCAAGCCTGCAACCCCAGGCATGTGCCCTGGCCAGGAATTGAACCCACCTCCTGGTTCATAGGTTGATGCTCAACCATTGAGCAAAGCGACCAGGCTCATCTTATAACTGAAAATTTGTACCCTTGACAAACACCTCCCCATTTCTCCCATCCCAAAGTCCCTGGCAACCACCATTCTACTTCTGCTTCTGTTAAGTTTGACTTTTTTAGATACTATTTATATGTGAGATTATACAGTATGTGCTAGACATAACCCCTTAAACACCTCCTCTCCTTTGAGGTCTGGAGGTCTTTATATTTTAGTTTAAGAACCGCCACCCAGTAAATCCTCTTGCTGTGGCCTCACTGAGTTTCTGGATTGTCCCACTCTACATAGTCCCTTTCAAATAACTCCATCTACCTTTCTTTAATTTCAGGCTAGGATACCTGTCCTCTGATTACCAGGAGGCCACCTTGGAGGCTTGAGGACTAGTCATACCCTGCCCACGTCCCAGCCCAGAGAGTGGAGTTGGTCATTTCTAAGAGCTGTATACCTATACCTTTAATTATCAGGGTTTTTTTTAGTGATTTGTGTGTGTGTGTGTGTGTGTGTGTGTGTGTGTGTGTGTGTCCTGGGTTCAAGTGATAGCACAAATCCCAAATGACCTCAAAGTTAAACACAACTCACTCACAGTCTTGGTGACTTCGGTTATTCGGTACAATACAAACTGGTTGCCACTTTTGTTTCTATCATTGTATTTCTTCAGAGCTGCATCCACAGCCTTAAATACATCCTCATCATTGCAGTCAACTTCTTGTGGTTGGTCCTCTTGGGCGAAACTTGTTAGCAGCCTGGAACAAAGGAAAAGGATGGCAAGTAACTTCATGATTTATCAGTCTCCCTCTGGGAGTTTCACCAAGAATTGGAAGCTAACTTGGAGGCTGATGTTAACCCTCTTCAGCCTCTTATCTCTTCTGTCTCTCCTCTCTCTGCCTTAGCACTTCAGGGTTCTGCTTGGCTTCCTGCTGCCCTCCACTATTTGCCCTATCACAAAAGAACAAATGGCTCCGCTGGATTATCTAAGCAGATCTCAGGCTGGAACATTACAACACTGGGTCATTGACCTGTTTGTTAGCAGTTGGGAGGCATGTGTGAGCACATTTCCAGGTAATTGCACAAGTTTGTGTAGCAAATCAGAGTACAATTCAATAAAGGAGGAGAAAAAAAAACATTAACCACCTGTTATTCCCTTTCCCAAATGACTTTCCCAAAGCTATTTATGAAGGTCACTGCATGTGACAACAATGCAACCATGAGCAGACACCTTTCAATAAAATTTCTTTGCACTCCTGCAGAGCACATGCACAGGGACATAGTGAGTGCAGGGAGTCTCACACAGGACATTGGCATGACTGAAAATAAAAAATGGGCATCCTATCTGGTCTCTGGCCAAGCCAGCCTCCCTCCACTCTACTGGATCTGCTGTAGAAAGGAAAATGGTCCCTAGGGTGGAGGAGACAGGGGAGAAACTTAAAGAGAATGGTTTGATTGAAGCCTGTTTACTCTGTCCTTCCTTCTTGTTTCTGGTTTGGTGGACTTTATAGGGGTCTTTTATTCACCAAGCCTAAGTGACCTTTCAGATAAAGTAAGACTATTCAGGGAGAGGAAGTCTAGCGGTAGGTTGAAGATATGGGGTAGTAGATGTTTGCCTCAAGTCTTACCCTCTTCCCCCCAAGAAGATGTTTGACTTCTTTGTTGTTGGTGATCAGGTATCTAGCTTGGCAAGCCAATCTCCCTGAGAGCCCCTGGAAAAGAGGGATCAATGGAAGCTGAATGATGGCCTTGTAGCAGACTGGCAGGAACATGAGCTTGGCAGTAAGCCCAACCTTGATTCCAATCCAGCTCTGCTACTTAATTGTTATGTGATCCTGAGCAAATCAGGGTCATATAGCCTTTCTGAATCTCTATTTCTCATCTGGAAAAGTGAGATATCATAATATCTTATGAGCTTTTCTTAGGAGTAATTAGATAATATATGTGCAGAGCCTAGTAATTAGTTCATATAAATTATATCTAATATTAAGGCTGTTTGGTTAAGAATCCCTGACTTACTGAAGCAGTTTCAGATGTGTGATGATTGCAGAAGATAGGTTCTAGTGTGTGTGTATAGTGGCAGAGTCAGGGGGTGGTGGGAGATGTAGGAAATGAAACTAAGGATGAAAAAAATTTGGGTAAGTTCTTAGACTTGGAAGAAAGAGGGACCCACAAAGATGGAGAAGCTGAGGGTGGGAGAGGGAGGAGATGACTGATGTGCAAGATCCAGGAGAGTTGGAAAGGAGCACAGGGCTGATCAGGTTGGGTGTTTCAAGTGAAGATTCAGAAACAGGACTTGCCAGTGTATACAGGTGGCATAATAAAGAGGAAAGCATGTGACTTTGGAGGAGGCTGATTTGGGTTCTAATCCCAGGCCCAATTTACTGACTATAACAAACACTTTTTAGCTATTGTGTAATAAAACAAATCTAGAAAAGGAGCAATCAAGGATATCTTGTCTAAATCTCTAGTACAATGTAAGCTCCCTAGAGTAGGGATTGTTTCTTACCCCATTATTCAGCTGCAGCAACTGTGTTTGCATATTATAAATGCATTTAATGGACATGAATTAAGAACATCCTATTTTTTTACAGGTACTATTTTCAATAACTCAAGCAATATTTGTGAAAGTACTTTATAAATTTAAAAAATAACACTAGTGAAATGCTTCTGTGAGTTATTGAGCTATGCATTTTTTTTTTTTTTGGTCTTCTTAGATTTCACCTTTCTTTACTCTCTATCTAAGCAGCCAACCCTGTGTTCACGCCTCTGGAGGAACGTGATTCTGCAGAGCAAACATTTGGCTGGAGACTCCCTGATTGTTTACACCTGGTGACCATTCTGACTGGCTGTTGTACCTGCTCTGTTGGTCAGCGCTGGTGTCATTTGGGTTATTATATATTTCGGGTATCATTGTGTGGTTTCAAGAAATGACATCTAGCCGAAACCGGTTTGGCTCAGTGGATAGAGCGTCGGCCTGCGGACTGAAAGGTCCCAGGTTCGATTCCGGTCAAGGGCATGTACCTGGGTTGCGGGCACATCCCTAGTAGGAGATGTGCAGGAGGCAGCTGATCGATGTTTCTCTCTCATCGATGTTTCTAACTCTCTATCTCTCTCCTTTCCTCTCTGTAAAAAATCAATAAAATATATTTAAAAAAAAAAAAAAAAAAGAAATGACATCTAGTTGTACTCTATGGAGAAAAGGGAAATGGGCTGCCACCATCACCCTTTTTTAGAAAAGGAAAATGTGGCCCAAAGAGGTTTAATGACTTTCTTAGTATCTCATAATCAATAAATTGTAGGACTGGGATTATAACCCAAATGGGCCTTCTTCAAAGTCACATGTTTTTCTATTTATTATACTGCCTGAATCCATTGCCACATTCCAGTTTTATTAAGAAACTAGAGGCCCGATGCATGAAAATTCATGCACTGGAGGGGGGTCCCTCAGCCCGGCCTGCCCCCTCTCACAGTCCAGGAGCCCTCAGGGGTAGGAGGTGACCCGGCGATCAGGGGAAGGCGATGCCCCCATCACAGCTCTGCTGATGCCACTGCCGGCAGCTCAAGCCTCAGCTGACCCTGGTTACCTGAGCCTCAGGCAGCCCTGGGTGGCTGGGCAGCTGCCATCCGAGGCTTGCCTATGCCTTGGGCTGGCCCTGGGCAGCTGGGGGGCTGAGGGGACTGGGCACCGCCATCTTGTGGCTGTGGGCACCGCCATCTTTGAGGGGGTCGCAGTCAATTAGCATATTCCCTCCTTATTGGCTGTGGGCACCACCGTCTTTGCAACAGTGTGAGGGTCAATTAGCCTATTCCCTCTTTATTAGATAGGATAATTGACATTCATCACTGTATAAGTTTAAGGAGTTCCACGTGATGCTTTGATTTATATATCTTTTGAAGTGATTACAATAGGTTTAGTTAACATTGTCTCATGTAGATATGATAAAAAGAAAAGTTTTCTTCTTGTGATGAGAACTCTTAGGATCTACTCTCTGAGCATCTTTCCTGTATATCATGCAGGAGTGTTAAGTATAGTCACTATTCTGTAAATTTCACCTTAGTCCTCACTTCTCTTAACACTGGAAGTTTGCATCTTTTGATCACCTTTCTCCAGGTCCTGTTTCTGAGTCTTCACTTGAAGCACCCACTATGATCAGCGTTGGGCTCCTTTCCACTCCTCCTGGACCGTGCACATCAGTCATCTCCCACCCTCAGCTTCTGCATCTTGTGGGTCCCTCTTTCTTCCCAGCCCAATACCTTACCCAAGTCTCTTTCACCCTTAGTTTTTTTTTTCTTTCTCTTCCTTCCCCCATTAGAATCTACCTGCTCCCACCACCAAACACCTGAACTGCTTCAATAAGTCAGATAGAGACAATCCAAAGTTTTATTAGCTCGAGTCTAAATGCTTGAATCTGGTTTGGGAAGAAGGAAAAAGAAAGAAAATTCAAATGTGACAAGAGTCCCCTGGCATCAAAAATGAATAAATAAAACTTTCTGAGAATAGAAAAGCCCCTAACATGGGAGAAGATATGAGAAGAACAAAGGAGTCTGGGGGTCTAGAGGCAGAGGACACCTCTGCCATGCTTTCTAGACATGTAGCCTAAGACAGCAAGATCCCAGAGGGAGATGAATATGGTATTCTTTGCAGTCATGTTCATCAGTAGTTTTAGAGAGACTCCGGCACCCCCAGTTTGGTACAGAAGAAGCAGATACACTAGACCCAAAGAGTGATGTGAACAGGGTAGTAAGCATCCCTTAGTAGAGGGACCTGGTGAACCAGTAATGAAGAATCAGACCATCTCATGCCCACCACCCAAACATCTGGGACTATGTGAGACTCTTAAACTGTGGCATAACTTTGTGTGAAGAGCAGCAGGGTGGGAAACTCTAAGAAGGACTGAGGTTACGTTTTCTATTACCCCAGCAGGATGGCAACTTGAAATATAAATTAATGTTTTGAAATTAAAGTGATATTTCTGGGGCACTTGAATTTATGGTCATGATTCATGCCTATAAACTTCTTCGAAAATTATATCCTGAGCTTTGTTTGCTTTATAATTAAATTTAGAAATTATTTTTCCAAAATAAAGAGGATTTAGAGAACTAGAAATAAGAAGTAGGAGAGAATTTGGATCACTTTTATAAGAACAATCCTTTATATGACAATACATACTTTCTTGGTGTGCCCAGCTACAGCATAAGTACTAAAAGAGGGATGATGCTAGAATTAAAGGAGTTTAGCCCAGAAAGTAAAGAAATTCTGAAGATCAAAAATTTGTCTCGAGTGGTATAGTAGCCAGTGAGAGAATTAACTTTTGACTTGAGACACTGAGATTTTTTCCTCTCCTCTCCATTTTTCTTGTTCTTCTCACGTCATCTCCTTCCCTACCCACATTTTGTCCTATTCTGAATATGAAAGATTACAATAACTTATAATGTTGCACTTATCATTGGTTACATTTTATTTATGGTTATAATTCAGAACATTACTCATTTTTCAAGGATTTCAGATTTCTTTCTGGAAATGTCTCCAAAAAACTTTGAAACATGTGAAAATTCACTGTTGAACATCCCTGGGCATAATTCAGAGGCTGATTGAGGGAAAGGCTGAATTTTTGGCTTTAGAGGATAGTTGTGGTTTGGCAATGAGAAGCTGGGGAAATTGGCTTCAGGAGGAGGAAGAACTTCACCTTTCTTTAGTGGAGGGAGTCGGTAAACATATCCAATTTGTCTCCATTTTAAGGGAAAGTGACCTTTGCCTGGACCTCTTTCTTCTGAGTGCCTATGTGGTGGGCCATGGCCCTGGTGATGGTGATCTTGGGGACCTTGCCTATGGGGTGGTGTGTCACAGGGTCCATGGTCATGAAAACCATGGCCATCAGGATGCTGTCCATGGGGATGGTGTCCGTGGGGATGGTGTCCATGGTGATGATGTCTATGGGGTTGGTGCCCATGAGGATGATGATCATGAGGATGATGTCCATGGGATTGGTGCTCACTGGAACTATGATTATGATGGGGTGCATGTGTGTCATTGATGTGAAAATGGAGGTGATGACATCTTGAAGGAGGCAGTCGTAAAGAAGCTCCTGCTTGAAGTGGTGGTCTCTCTGAGTGATTTTTGTCGTCCATAGGAGGTGGGCATCCAGGTTTATGTGGCTTATGGTGATGGAGGTTATCCCTGGATCTACTGTGTGTAAATGGAGGCTTGCCACCAGTTGAATGCCCATGGCCTCCAGAATGGAGGAGATGGTCCAAATGCGGTTGTACATCACTGATGTTTCTATGTTCCTGGTGAAGGACACAGAAAAGTGAATATCATCATGTAAAAGAAGAAATTAGATGTTTAACTTGATTTAATTCAACTAAATCCATACTTTTGGATTGCAGAAATAAATTTTAAAAGTAGTATATAAAAAAGGGGTTCTCAAATTTTTATCTAGGCAAGTTGGCATTTGAAATACAAGCAAAAATCATCATCTACCTCCATCATTTCACAATAGCAATAATATTTTATAACAACAGTCAGAAAGATAATCTCAGAGTAAAGGATGGTTCTTTTATATGTAATATGTTATACCACAAACAATTTTCTTATTATCTTTATTTTTCTCATTTCCATATAAAGTGATAAAATTGTATTACTGAATGGTACTTATTTATAGATCAACATTTGGAAAAATAGTGCCTTATAATTTAGGCTCTCAACAGAGTTCTGTGACTCTACGTTATAAGCATTTCTTACTCCTAAAAGATGAGCACTTCACCTCTTCACTATCCTCATTCAGATTTAATATTTTTTAAAAAATCTGTGCAGCCTGCCCCCCTTTTTGGTTTGTCACATGGATGTTTGAATTATCTTTTTCTGATACAAAAAATACTGTGAAGAATATTTGTGTGTAGAATAAACGTTTCTACACACTGATATTCTCATAAAATATTGTTTTATATTTTATATATCTTTATATAATAAATTTGACACTAATTCATTCCCCTTAGATTCTGTGCCTAATAATAAAACTAGATTATTAAGTCAGCACTGGAGTCCTTGCTACAAGAATCATTTTCAAATTCAGTAAACGTTTGTTAAATTGGTCATGATTTTACTTTTATGCCAAATCTTACACTTTCCCAATTTTTGGAAAAAGTGTCACACTTTTGGTGTCTTACCAGGAATTGCACTCCTATCCCCAAGGGATATTCTCTACTCCCCCCTCAAACTATCTTCTCTCTCTCTCTCTCTCTCTCTCTCTCTCTCTCTCTCTCTCTCACACACACACACACACACACACACACACACACACACACGCACACACGCACACACGCACATGCGCACACAGAGCCATAAGAACAAAATACACTATGTGTATGAAAACACTACTTAGTCTGGCACTGCTCATGACGAAGGTTGCTTAGGCAACCCACCTTAAGGTCAAAGACTTCACAGTTTGTGTCAACCTCTATTGGGGTTTCCAAGTCAGAGGCTCCTACATCATAGGACAAAACTGATCTGCAGAATCCAAAGACCTATAAATAAGAGAGAAACCTGTTAGTATATGTGTATTTGTGTGTATGTGTGCAGGTGGTGTGAAGATGTCCAGCAAGAGTTGTGAACTTCCAGGCATTCTGGAAAGGAAGGAGAGCTCTAGAAAAATCAAGTTAATATCATCAAATATCTCCACCAGTTATTTAACAATATTTCCTAATCAACATTTTGGGAAAATTACAAGTTCCTAAGATTTTCATTACTGCTGTGGTTCTCTTCCATGACTGGAAACTATCACTGGGTTTCCCCATGTGTGGTAGTTGGGAATATTATGTCATTGATATCTTCATGTTAGACCAACTCTACTGCACTGAAGACCTGAGTTGCCCATGTCTAGAGAAAAAGAAGGGTGGTGTAGATGAGAGATTTGTACAACTTTAACAAAGTACCTTGGAGGAAAGTCTTGGAAAGAAGGGAGCCATTATAAAAACGGGTTTGCACAGACCCTGTCATAGAGACTGTCTTCTGGCCCTACCCTAAGTTCAGAGGCTACACCTGGCTGGCACCCCTCTGCCCCAGAGATCCCTAAACCCAGCTGTCAAAATTACAAGAAGAAAACTCGTTTTTTGAGGAGACTGTTAAGCAGTAAGATTTTGAGTACAACCCTATCCAGTTTAGCTCAGTGGATAGAGCATCGGCCTGCGGACCAAAGGGTCCCAGGTGCAATTCTGGTCTCGAGCACTATCTTGGTTGCAGACTCCTCCCCAGCCCCGAGCCCTGGTAGGGGCTTGTTCAAGAGGCAACCAATCGATGTGTTTCTCTCACATCAATGTCTCTCTCCGTCTTTCTCTCTCTTTCACTCTCCCTAAAAATGAAAGGAAAAATATCCATGAGCAAGGATTAACAAAAAACAACAACAACAAAAAAGGTTTTGAGTATAGGTTTAGAGTCAGAAACCCTATGCTAATCCTGGCTTCATCATGTACTAGTTCTATGAGATTTAGGTAAGTTGCATAAAATTTCTGAAACTCAGTCTTTATTTCTAAAATGAGTACAGTACTATCTACCCTCAGGTTGTGGGAGGGCTTAATTAAATGAGATAATGCTATAAAACATTTAGCATTGAGCTCCTCTTCTCCAGCCTCCATGTTTCTGCACTGAGTTTGTATTCCCCACACCACGATAGTTAAGGGTTTGTTGGGGTCAATGGGATGGTCACAGGAATACAACAAAGCAATACTATATGGAAGTGGTTTGTAAACTATAGGTTGCTATACAAATGCTGCATATCATTCATAACACTTCCTGCAGGCACATGAGTATCAGTTTATACATGAGTACGGGGAAATCCCATTGGACTGAGCATCTTGGTTGTGAACATCAGGCAAGACCCTTACTTTACTGAGTCCATTACCTTCCCATTTGTCAAATATGCTCACTGTGAGGAGTGAATGAGATGAAGTGAATGAAAGGACCCATGAGTATATGTTCTTAATACATTCTAGTTATTAGTTTTAGCTAAGTCTTTAATCTTAATGAGTTAAAAAAAAAACCTCATTGTTAAGTTTAGGTATATATCATGTATATTTTAAAAATAATATTCTCAGTTTTATCGCCATGCCTCAGTTTCCCCATAGGTAAATCTGGAATAAAATGCTATCTAGTCCATAGGGTGGTGGGGGGGGGGGGGTAATAGGCTAACATATGGGTAAAGCCCTTACAAGGGTATCTGGCACATAGTAAGTAGCCTGCAAATGTTACTAGTGTTTCACACTCATCTATTATACTCACATTATAGTGCTTGTGAAAATGGTGACTGGAGCAGTTCCTCACAGAGAAGTCAATATAGTAATTGGTTCTTCTCCCTCCTCTCTAGAACAAATAGGAACAAAGCAGTGTCAGGAACATATTTTTAAAAGCCAGTAGATTCCTACTATCCATAATACTGTAAAGGCGCTATCAGGATTCACCAATATGTGCCATTTTTCTTATTGTCTCTGCCTTTTTAAAATTTATCAAGTGATAAGATGAATATTATTTGATTGAAAAGGCTCAGATAATGCAGACACAATCAAGCATAGTGTGAAAAGTCATTCTTCCTGCATCCCAGCCTCTTCCTCTCAGAGGTACCACCATCATTCATTTGATGTGCTTTTCCTTCTAGTCTTTTTCTAAATATGTTGTGTATATACACATATATCTAATTGTTTAATATAAAGGGGATCATAGTCTAAGTATTGGTCTATAACCACTTTTTTCCCTTGGCAATATATCTTGAAACTCTTCCCAAGGCGTATAGGTCCAAAACATTCTGTTTAGTACGTAATTGCATTGTATTTATCCCATTGCTTTGTGTTTTCAAAATACAAGACAACATAAACTAGCTGTTCTATAAGACTGCTACAGGTGGGAGGCACTTGAGACCCTGGATGGGGAGGCACTTGAGACCCTGGATGGGGAAGGACTATCTGGCTCTAGCCATACCACTGGGTGTGGTGAGGTAGTTGCCAGTTGGGGGTGGTGATCAGGCTGGCAGGGGGGCCAGTAAGGGTGATCAGGCAGGCAGGCAGGCAGGAGAGCAATAAGGAGCCAGCGGTCCTGGATTGTGAGAGGAATGTCTGACTGCCGGTTTAGGATCCTCAGGATCAGGCCTAAACCGGCAATCAGACATCCCCCGAGGGGTCCCGGATTGGAGAGGATGCAGGCTGGGCTGAGGGGTCCCCCTCTGTGCAAAAATTTCGTGTACTGGGCCTCTAGTAGATATACAATACATATTCTTTATCTAATCATCTATTGATAGGCACTTAGATTGCTTCCATATCTTATCTATTGTAAATAATGCTGCAGTAAATTTAAGGATGCATGTATCTTTTTAAATTTGTGTACACTTGAAACTAATATTATATTGAATATTACCTATAAGTTAAAAATTATAATAATAAAAATCATCTGGCCCAAGGAGGCCAGTGGGGAGAGGGTCAATGCAACTGAATTTGTGCCTATGAGATTGGAGCCTGGGCCCTCAGGCTCCAGCTGAACATTAGTGGAAACTCACGCCTCTGCCGACTCTCTCGACTTGGTCCACTCTGAGAGAGGCAAAGTCACCATTCTCCTTTTTGTACATCTCAAGGACTTTGTCTGCTTGTTTTCTGTAGACCTCAGTCTCTTCAAAGAAATCCAAGAGTACGGGGCTGTCTTTAGTATTGGCCAATGCGGAAAAGACTGGAGAAAGAAGATGTGGCTAAATAGCACTGTCAATGCTGTGATGCTGTGACTTAATACATTTATGCATGATGGAAACAATAACAGTACCTCCTGTATTACAGACAAGTGAATTGAGGGTTGGAGAGGCCAAGAAACTTGTTCCAACAAATCAGCTAATCAACAGCAGAGCTAAACTTAAATCCAGATCCTTCTGATGCTCAAGTCTCGGTTGTTACCCTATTCAGATGCCCTAACCCCATCATTCATAAAGTGTGAATATTTCAATAAACTCTTCCTATCTCTGCCAAGGAGGGAGAGCATCATTAAAATGAAGTTTTGCCCAGAGAGAGAAGATACAGCTCAGTCTTCTTTAAGGCAAACTCCTGAAGGAATTGCTGGCTGCTGAATTTTTGTATATTGAATTATGAGGAAATTTTTAATTTTTAAAGGAACTCTGTGATAATTCTCTTGGGGAAAGTACATAATAAGAACATAAACTTTAGATTTAACACTGGTGGGGCAGGTTTAGGTTCACCATATTTGGGGTGTTTTATGAGGCCAAGTAATTTAATCTCTTTGAACATCTTTTAACTCTAAAATAGAAAGTCTCATAATCTTCAGTCTTGTAATGAGATTAAATGAGACTGCTGTGTAAACTGTAGCATTAACACATAAGTTTTAGATGTTGAAGTAAATATATTGCTAAATACTTTGAAAGTGTACTACACAGAGCATCATATCTAATTCTAACAAAGACCCAAAGAGCTAATACTATTATTAGTTTTATTTTACACATTCCTCATGTTAAGTAACTTTCCCTCAAGACCATGCAACTAGTAAATTATGAGATTGGGATTCAAATTCAAGCCAATCTGACTCCAGACAGAGCCTATGTTCTCTATAATGATGCTCTACTGCCTTATGTAGCTTTCTATTTTTTATATATTTAATTTTTTGTAAAGTGTATCAATAGCAGGGGGAAACCCTCTTGTGACTCTTTACAGGAGAGTGAGTAATAAGTCCATGAGCATAGGTAGGGACCATTTTTGATATGTATATCATAGTATTATATGTTAAATACCACTGTATGATTGAATTCTATATCAATCTAGAATTAAGTAGTATTTTAACAGATTATCATACCAGAGCTTGTGGTGCAATTGAAGTCATTCACTCTAAGGTCCTGAAATTCACTCAAACGTGTTGTAGCTATTACCTTACACTGTCCAATCACCTGTAAGAAAGAAAAGTTTATCATTGTGTACTGCTTTCTTCAGATTGAATATGAAGACACAAAAAAAGTGATGCAACGTACGTTGTTATCCTTTAAAATTTATTTGTGCTTTCTCAACAAATCCTCTCTCCTTTTTTTAATAAGTCTTTATTGTTCAGATTATTACAGTTGTTCCTCTTTTTTCTCCCCATAGCTCCCCTCCACCCGGTTCCCACCACACCCCATGCCCTTAACCCCCCCCCCACTTATCCTTATCCATAGGCGTTCGATTTTTGTCCAGTCTCTTCCCGCACCCTCCACATCCACTTCCCCCCAAGAATTGTCAGTCCACTCCCTTTCTATGCCCCGATTCTATTCTATTCACCAGTTTATTCTGTTCATCATAATTTTTATTCACTTGATTTTTAGATTCACTTGTTGATAGATATGTATTTGTTATCACTTTGTTGTTCATAATTTTTATCTTTACCTTTTTCTTCTTCTTTCTATTCTTAAAGATACCCTTCAGCATTTCATATAATACTGGCTTGGCGGTGATGATCTCCTTTAGCTTTTTCTTATCTGTGAAGCTCTTTATCTGACCTTTAATTCTAAATGACAGCTTTGCTGGGTAGAGTAAATCTTGGTTGTAGGTTCTTGCTATTCATCACTTTGAATATTTCTTTCCACTCCCTTCTGGCCTGCATAATTTCTGTTGAGAAATCAGCTGACAATCGTATGGGTACTCCCTTGTAGGTAACTAACTGTTTTTCTCTTGCTGCTTTTAAGATTCTCTCTTTGTCTTTTGCCTTTGGCATTTTAATTATGATGTGTCTTGGTGTGGTCCTCTTTGAATTTCTTTTTTTTTAAATTAAATCTTTATTGTTCAGATTACATTTGTTCCTCTTTTTTCCCCCCCATAACTCCCCTCCTCCCAGTTCCCGCCCCACCCTCCGCCCTCACTCCCCACCCACTGTCCTCATCCATAGGTGCACGATTTTTGTCCAGTCTCTTCCCACATCTCCCACTCCCCTTTCCCCCCCAAGAATAGTCAGTCCATTCCCTTTCTATGTCCCTGATTCATTATAATCACCAGTTCATTCTGTACATCAGATTATTTATTCACTTGATTCTTAGACTCACTTGTTGATAGATGCATGTTTGTTGTTCATAATTTGTATCTTTACCTTTTTCTTCTTCCTCTTCTTAAAGGATACCTTTCAGCATTTCGTATAATACTGGTTTAGTGGTGATGAACTCCTTTAGCTTTTCTTTATCTGTGAAGCTCTTTGTCTGACCTTCAATTCTGAATGATAGCTTGCTGGATAAAGTAATCTTGGTTGTAGGTTCTTGGTATTCATCACTTTGAATATTTCTTGCCATTCTCTTCTGGCCTGCAAAGTTTCTGTTGAGAAATCAGCTGACAGTCGTATGGGTATTCCCTTGTAGGTAATTGAGTCTCTTTCTCTTGCTGCTTTTAAGATTCTCTCTTTGTCTTTTGCTCTTGGCATTTTAATTATGATGTGTCTTGGTGTGGTCCTCTTTGGATTCTTTTTGTTTGGGGTTCTCTGCGCTTCTTGGACCTGTAAGTCCATTTCTTTCACCAGGTAGGGGAAGTTTTCTGTCATTATTTCTTCAAATAGGTTTTCAATATCTTACTCTCACTCTTCTTCTGGCACCCCATAATTCGGATATTGGTATGCTTGAAGTTGTCCAAGAGGCTCCTTACACTATCTTCATATTTTTGTATTCTTTTATCCTTTGGCTTTTTCAGTTGGGTATTTTTTTGCTTCTTCGTATTTCAAATCTTTGACTTGATTCTTGGGATCCTCTAGTCTGCTGTTGGATCTCTGTATATTATTTTTTATTTCATTCAGTGTATGCTTAATTTCTAAGTGGTCCTTTTTCATATCCTTGAGGGTCTCACTAAATTTCTCCAAGGTTTCTAGAAGATTCTTGAGTAACCTTATAACCATGGTTTTGAACTCTGTATCCAGTAGTTTGCTTTCCTCCATTTCTTTCATTTGTGACATGTTTCTTTGTCTCCGCATATTGGCTGCTTCCCTGTGTTAATAGAGTGGCTTTGTGTGCTAGGTGTCCTATAGGGCCCAGTGGCCCAGCCTCCCTAGTCACCTTACGTAGATGCTCTTGGTGCACCCCTTTGTGGGTCATGTGCACAATCTTGTTGTTAAGCCTTGATTGCTGTTGGTATCACTGGGAGGAATTGAACTCCAGACCAATTGCCTGTGAGGACCAGTTGTGTCTACAATAGGAAAACTGCTGTGCTGGAAACACCCTTATGGGGCAGGACTTGCTTCAGTGGGGCTTTGGTGCTCACTGAGTCTGCCCCCTGAGTGTGTCTCTTATGGTTCTGAAGAGTTGTAATCTGGTGTGGTCTCACTCTGACTACTGGATACACTGGCTCTTAGATTTCCAAGCAGTTGCAAAGACAGCCACTGCCTGAGGCCACCCAGCAGGAGCTACAGAGACATCTGCAGATTCCTCCTCTTTGTTTGGGGTTTGGAGGTGCCCAGATGAGGAGCAGCTGTGAAGCAATGCAGGCTGCTGACAAGCCCTAGGCCTTAATTTGGAAGCTCTTGTGTTCTTTGACCCAGCTTCAGTTTATTAGGTTTTAGGTTGCAAAAGGCCAGGCCATTCATATGCAAAATCCTCCGCACACAGCTTTGGTGGGGTTGTAAATTGGGTGGGGCGGGGTCTCAGGGAATCCTGGGGCAGTGCAAACAGCAATGGTTGCTCATCACCCCTGCCCCCGGATAGGTCCCTGGGTCTCTGTGTCCCATGGCCTGGTGCAGGAACAATGAACACTGTGAGCACCTCTGAGAGAAAGCCACCCTCGAGTTCTGGCCCAATGCCAGACAGTCCAGTTTCTCCCTGTATGAGTCTGGGTCTGTAGAGTCTCACCCAGAAATGGAGTTCAGAGCAGTTGGGGACTTGTATCTCCCTCCCCAATTGAAAAAGACCACAGCGTACCCAGTTGCCATCCTGTTTCTCGGCCTCTGTAGCTCTGCTCTTCCGCACCTCTGCACTCCTACCAGTCTAGATGCGCTTTTCTCTTTCCCGCTAGTTGTAGGACTTCCACTCAGCCAGCCTTCCCATGGTTCTGAATGATATCCATTTTGTCTTTTAGTTGTAGTTTTGATGTGGTTGTGCGAGGCAGCAAGTTCAGGTGTTTACCTATGCTGCCATCTTGGTTCCTCCCCAATCTTTCTATTCCTGTAGCACAATCATGGAATGTTATTGCAACTGCTCTTGAAGAATAACAAGGAATGATGCCTTAGTTGCCCAGTAAGGTGGTACTTTGCCCTGAAGAACTGTAGAAGTTAGAAATGTGAGCAGAGGCAGTTGAAAGCAGAGCTTCTAAGCATTGTCATTTTCTAGTTGTGTGGCTTTGAACAAGTTATTTAACGTCTCTAAACCTCAAGTTCCCCCCTGTAAAATGCGGCTAGTAATAACCTCCCTGCAGGGTTGCTGTGAAAATTAGTGACTGGAACCTGGATGATGCTCAATAAAGCCAGTGTGAATCGATGGAGGCTGTCCAGGCAGCGTGGCACGCTGGTGGAAACGCGTCATTCAGGTGCTGAGAGGCACGGCCGCTGCTCATCCCCCTCAACAATTCCTCTTTCAAACCTGTATTTTCTTAATCTATTTCTGTGAGTTAATAACATAGGCACCCAAAACCCTCATGAGAACCACAGATAAACTGTTTAAACAGATCATGGCCATATCTCAAACATTTTCAAGAAGAAATAAATGCTAAAATTTCTAGGTATGTAAGTGTCTTATTTTCTGGAACTAAAATCTTAGATCTGTGCTTTTTCATCTTTGTGTTCTTCTCCTGTGGCAGACAGCCTGGGATCTGATTACCCATGTGCAAAGCAGCACAAGATCCCATTCCTCATGATAATTGCAATTAATCCCTTTTGGCCACTCCTGCTCATGGGACCAGTCTTCATAGGACACAATTACAACTTCATAGGTTCTACACCCATAGACTATCAGGGCCAGATAGGACTTTATAGTTTATCTACTCCAACCTCCTCCTCTTATTTTACAGCTGAGGTACGGACATCTAGCAACATTAGGTGATTTGCACAAGGTTATAGCTGGTCATGATATAACAAGCCCCACTGAGATATCTTGAACTGGGTTTCTAGGTATGGCTCTCAAGAGAATATTACTCAAGGTCGACATAATCTTCATGAGTCAAAAGACAGAAACTGGTCTTCGTCTCCCTCTATTGCTGTGGAATATAGCTACCCTCAGAAAACAGAGTAGACGGAAGTCAAGAATAATAAAATGAGGAGAATGGTATCATGTTTACTTACTATATCAAATAGATATCTAGAAATATTTGGCTCACAGTCATCCCAGTGTTTTCTGGATTGGACTGGACAGTCAGATTCTTTCACATCTAAGACTAGATAATAGACATCTGTGGATTCCTGAAAAATTCCAAAAAAGCAACAGGTGAGTAACACGTGGAAGCCCAGTATGTTTTCATTAGAAACAATCTCTTGATTTCTTAAACAGAATTTCTGTTCCTTCCCAAATAATTGCAGATGTCTACTTTTGTGTCATTTCATCTATTTATTTGAATAAATAGCTTGGAAAAGTTACTTCCAAATGTTATTGTTAATTGGTCATGATGTTGTTTCTGCTTATGAGTTTTAAAAAACAATCACTAAATGGCACCATTTGTTTGGGCAGATATTTTGAAGGTGTAAACCTAGAAATTATAACTGATGACAGCCACATCACGAGCTCCAATCTGTATGCACAATTGTGTCCTCTCACCCAGCTCTTTCCTGAACTTGGACTTCTTGCCTTAATTTCAACTTGCCCAAACCTAAAATCAGCTCTTCTTTTAAAAACCAGCTACCTCTCTCAATTTATCTTGCCTTTTGTCAATGACACCATTAATTATTTCTTGCCTTAGTCGTTGGCTTAAAAAAAATGTGACATTTGCTTTGATTTCTTCCTTTGCTTTTGCTATACAATCACCAGGCCTTGAATGATGTTTCTTTAAAATATCTCATGTCTTTTTTTTCATTCTCATTGCCATAAATTCCACCACCTTGGTCTGTCTTCATTTCCTCAATTCTGAAAACGTAATATAGCTTTCTAGTTCAAGCCCATGTCACTTGCATCCATCTCTCCAAGTACACTGTGCTCCCTGCCTCCACTCAGAGGTAGCCCTGGGCCAATTCATCCTGTGTCCTATAATGTGGCAGAGATTCTGGACTGGGACTAGTAGTCACTAAGTTGCTAGTTGAATCCCGAGTCCCTGCACTCATTCTCTGCACCATGTAGAGCCTCCACATCTAATATTTTAAGAAGCATCAAGTTATCTGTTTGTCCTCTGTGATGCTCTATTGTCTGACCTCCCTGATTTTAGTGGTTCCTCCAAAGGGCAGGTTATTTTGGGGAGTGGTGAAGAGAGGCCTCCCTCCTTAATCTCTATCAAGCCCTCAAATCTATTCAAAGTAAGTATATAATCTATGTCAGTAATTTTCAATATTTTCATCTCATGGCAC